CTCTTCGGAAACGGTCCAGAAGTAGCGTCCGGCGAGATGTTGTGGCGCCGCGCACGTCTCCAGATCATCCTCGCGTCGTAGCCGTCGAAGCCACAGCAACTCGCAGTTACAATGCAGCGGGTTTCCCCCGAAGCTCAACGCGAACGACGACGGACCCAGAACGCCTGATGTGGCCAGAACTCCCGCGCGCTGGAAAACCGGATCGGGCGGCAGCTTATGCAGCTTATTAGACGTGACGTCCAGTCGCTTGAGCTTCTGAAGCCCGGAGAACGTTCCCTCAGGGATGTAGTTGATCATGTTATGATCCATGTTTAAAGTGTGCAAGCTAATCATGAGCTGGATCGCGACCCAAGGCACGCTTTCCAAGTTGTTGTAGGACAAATCGAGCTCTTCGAGAGCCAGGAGGTCGTTGAACGCTCCGATGTGGATGTGTGTGAGCTGGTTGTTATTGAGGATTAGATGGTGAAGCTTTGACATGCCGCTAAACGTGTCGTTGGTTATATGCGTCAAGCGGTTGCTGTCCAGATGAAGCGCGCGCAGGTTCTCGAGGTCGTTGAAGGCGTGAGGCGTGACGGAGCCGATGGTGTTCCTCGAGAGAGTCAGGTCCACCAGTTTGGTCATGTTGGCGAAGTCCTTGCGCTTGATTCCCGTGATGAAGTTGTCCCCCAGTCGGAGTTCGACGGTGCGCCGGTCGATGTTCGGAGGGACGAACAACAGACCCTTTTTATCACACAGGGTTGCCAGATTGGGGGACAGAACCTGGCAGACGCAGCGCTTTGGACAAACCTGGATCTTCTGGGCTTTCAGCGCCATCACAACAACCAGCAGGTAAACGAGTAGCATCTCCATCTGGGTTGCTGGTGTCGGTTAAACAACCTGTGGGGAGAAAACACGTGAGTGTGGAGAGATTAGTTGTTTAATCAGCAAGGACGTGTTCGATTGTGATTATAATGCTACAAAAGATTCTATTTCAAATAAATAACTTTATATTCACTAAACAATCCTGAAAAATAAAATGCATTCACGTTTAACACTGATGTGTCTTGATCACTCTGGAGGATCATGTGACACCGAAGACTGGAGTAATGATGATAAATTCAGCTTTGATCACAGGAATAAATTACACTTTACTGTATATTCACATAGAAAACGGATGATTTACATTCGAATAATATTTCACTGTTTTACTGTATTTTGATCATATAAATGCAGCTTTGGTGAACAGAAGAGAACCAATTAAACATTTCCAATCAATCTTTTGAATGGTAGTGTACACTACTAAACGCAACGACTTAGAGTATGTTGTGTTAAAGTGTTCTACAAGCAGTTTCAAGCAGTCTTGCATTGAAGTATTTCCTTTATTTTCCTTTTAATGTTAGTGCAGATTTAGCTTTTTTAATAGTTATTTTAGTTTTTAAAAATGTGGATGTGACCCCACGAGTCGTCGATACGTATTTCAATTTCTATTCATTATTAAGTCTGTTTTCCAAGAAGTCAGATGTGTATTCAGGAGCGTAACACACGAGCTCCAGGATCTTTAATAATCATGTGTTTCTCACAGAACTGCATGTCTGGAGCTTTTGGGACATTTACACTAAAGCTCATGCTCTGTCTCTGATATGATCATGTTGATGCTTTCATCTGTGTTCGTTCAGAGAGATGAAAGACAGAATTATTCTGATGTCTCAGACACAGAAAGCATGAACACAGATGGAGAGACACGTCAGTGATTTCGCTCGGCTCTTCGTCGTTCCTCATGTTCCTCATTAACTTGCACCGCGTACTCTCTGGATGTCTCTAAAGTCCTTGACAAGATTTAACATTTCGGTTTTTAATAGGATGGTTCTTTGCTAAGATCATGAATGTTTAATTGAGGAGTGTTTAATCATGTGTGAATTTGTATTATACGGTCTCAGATGACAAAAACGTGTTTTAAATCTTCCCATTAATTATTTCTCAATGCTATTTGAACATTCAAAACATCCAGATTTTTTTATGTTTTAAAAACGTTTTTTTTGCTTGGTCATGTGAACGTTAAGCATGGAAGCTTGTTTCCGCCACAGAATAAAACATTTTAAAAGATAATTCTGACTTTATTAAGCAGAATTGCGAGATATAAAGTCAGAATTGCGAGATATAAGGTCGCAATTATGAGAAAACGTCAGAATTGCACAATTCTGACTTTATATCTCGCAATTCTGACTTTATATCTCAAAGATCAAAGCTGAATTTATCTTCATTACTCCAGTCTTCAGTGTCACATGATCCTTCACAAATCACTCTAATATGAGGATCTGATGATCAAGAAACTTTAGAGGAATCCATTTTTGTGCCGAAACCTTTGGCAAGTTTCGTACCATTCCGATGAAGTTTAAGAAATAAAGAGTTTGGGGTCACATGGTCTTCCACTGTTCATCAAACTATATGACGGAAGTCACTCAAAACTGATTCCCAGCATCCCTCAGAATATCTCCTCTTGTGTTTAACAGAAGGACAGTCGTATACATGAGGACAATATTCATATTCAGCTGGACTGTCCCTTTAACAGGATCATCCACATCTACACACACAACTTATTTGAATATTATAACAGATTATTTTAATTTCTTAGAATATTAGAATATTTTTTTATCACATTAAAGCCTAAAAACAGATTTACACTGATCATAGATGTATGAGTAAAGATGTGAGGCTTTTAACCCTTTAGAACCTGAAGACAAAATCCATCCCGCTTCAAATCCCGAAGGCGAATCGACCAATAGACGAGCCCGTTATTAAACTCACACACAATCCAGTGTTTCCTACAAACGCTAAATTAATATAAAAATATCCTTCGAGGCTGAATCCGGCATACCGACACGGGCTGAAGGCCAGTGCTCATACTGGGACTAACCTCGAGCCGCCACTCAAACCAGTGCGAACTGCGCTCACAATAACACGGAGAATCCAGCGATATTATAATAACACATCATTTATTAATCCTCAAACACGCATCCGTTCGCGTGCAGGAACGGCAGACTGACCTTGCAGAGGAACGGCACTGCGTTCATCATCGTTATTTGCATCTGCTTTCTTAAGATCTGGGAAATGAAGACGCGTCTGGAATAATAACGCGTCTAAAGGACGGACGGACGCAAGGATGAGGATCCATCGGGAGTTCAATCATTTATTGTTATGATCATGATTTACCTGTAGAAGGATCAGCTTTGCTTCATAAAGGCAAAGCGCGTTTTCCCACAGAAATCTCCAAGTCACCGCATTTTCAGCAGGTCCTCCTCCTCCTCCTTCTTCTTCTTCTTCCAGATGACCCAGATATATCCCTGGACATCAGAGCCTCTCGCATCCCTCTCTCCTGGCGCTCTTCCACATCTGTGTGACCTGTGAGTGATTAAAGCCTCGGTGTCGATCTTATATTCATCAGATGTGTGCTAATAAACCCGCAGGCAGGATCGCCTCTCCGCATTACAGTGATGCGCCCAGTCCGCCAATCCTAGCACGGCGAGGGCGAGGCTCATGAATATTCATTAGGTCATGCTGCAGTCCGTCCAATCGGCCGGCTCGCTCTGGAATATTAATCAAACCATGCTGACGTTTAGACATTACCCTTATATATATATTGGATGTACAATAAAAATATACGTTATTTAGAAAGCAACCAGATAGCGTAATATATATATATATATAGTATTAAAACATTACTATACAATATATAACGAGTAATGTCTAAACGTATTACGCTAATATTAACAAATAAAAATATATTGATTTGTTATTATACACACACACACACAACCATATATATATATATATATATAGGAATGAAATACTAAACAATTACATATTGCTATTTATTGTAGCCCATTAGTGTGTATAATTTGGTAACACTTTACAATAACATTTTATTTTTTAACATTAGTGCAACTGAACAATACGACATTACCTGTTATATATATAATGTTTATATATATATATATATATATATATATATATATATATATATATATATATGTGTGTGTGTGTGTGTGTGTGTATTTATGTATAATGCTATCTGGTTGCTTTTCAATGGGTCATCATGAGTTTGAAATACTAATTAATTAACTACATGTTGTAGCTTGTTAGTTTTTATTTTGCGGTCACACTTTTCAATAAGGTTTTGTTTGTTAACATTTACGTATTACTGAACAATACATGTATTACACTTAGTTAATGTTCATTTCAATGCATTTCCTAAATGAGATCTTACTCTAAAGTGTTACCGATATTGTATAATACTCTATTATTATTCATTTGATGTTATTGACGGTGCGTTGTTATCGTCCAATGGGGAAACGCGGATGTGGAATATTAATCTGGCGGTGAGCTCGTCTCCTCCAATGGCGAGCGCGGGCTCATGAATATTAAGTGCGTGTCCTTCGCCATAGTAGGACTGACTGGCGGATTCTGGTCTTTCTCAGAGAAAACGCCTTTCTGGAGACATGCGCCGACTCAGATCGCAGATAAACAGCCAGATGAAGTCGGATGGATGGATGTGATTGATTGATTGATGTCAGGAGACACATCATCATTGATCAACTCATATCTGAGATCAATAAAACATGCATGTGTTCGCGCATGTCTGTTTTCTCAAATAGAGTGGTGGATCCTCATGACAAACTGCAGATTACAGCAAACTCTCCTTCAGTACTGTAGTTTGTTTTGTTAAAATAAAACACTGGTTTACAGAATTTCAGCATTCAAGCATAAGCAATTTTATAAATGTAGGGGCGATAAGGTGTCCTCTCACGTTTATGAGGTTTTGAGCCGTGAATGCCTGTTTTGTTGCTTTTAATAATTTTTAGAGTAAAACACACTGACACATAACCGCCTCTTTTCGAGACTTGTTCACATAAAATGTCTAATTGTCATAAATGTAACAATTTATTGATTGCAATTTGTATTTCCGTACATCATTTGCATTCTGTTGTGTTTCATGAGTAGTTTTATGATGACTAAAGCTTGAAACGACACGTTTATCTGCTGTTGTTGATGAGGAACTGCTGGTGTGTGAGGGAGTCTGTGCGCTGGCCGGTCCTGCTCTTCATCTTCAGGAAACCTGTCAGGTCATCATGAGGAGGATCCGCTATGCTACGACTCCAACGCGGCTCCGAGACCCCGAGCAGCTCTGCTACCTTAGCGGAGATAGTCTGAGACACACACACACACACACACACATCAGCAGAGACAGACATTTGTGTGTGTGCGCGTCCAACTCAACGCCATGAAGCTATAGAGCCATTTCAGGAGTTTTTGGAGGTTGCTAGGGTGTTGCTATGTGTTTCCTAATGTGCTCTAGGTGGTTGCTAGGGTGTTGCTATGCATTTTCTTAATATCTTTAGGGTGGTTGCTAGGGCATTGCTATGCATTTCCCTAATGTGTTGTTCCTAATATATTCAAGGGTGGTTGCTAGGGCATTGCTATGTGTTTCTTCGTGTGTTTTGGGTGGTTCCTAGGGCGTAGCCACTGAATGTGTTTCCTTATCAGTTTTTGGAGGGTTGCTATAGGGCATTGCTTTGCGTTTCCTAATATGTTCTGGGTGGTTGCTAGGGGGTTGCTATGTGTTTTCCTAATATGTTTTGGGTGGTTGCTAGGTTGTTGCTATGTGATTCCTAATATGTTCTGGTTGCTAGGTTGTTGCCATGTGTTTCCTAATATGTTTTGGGTGGTTGCTAGAGCGTTGCTCTGCGTTTCCTAATATGTTCTGGGTGGTTGCTAGGGGGTTGCTATGTATTTTCCTAATATGTTTTGGGTGGTTGCTAGGTTGTTGCTATGTGATTCCTAATATGTTCTGGTTGCTAGGTTGTTGCCATGTGTTTCCTAATATGTTTTGGGTGGTTGCTAGGTTGTTGCTATGTGATTCCTAATATGTTCTGGTTGCTAGGTTGTTGCCATGCGTTTCCTAATATGTTCAGGGTGGTTGCTAGGGCGTTGCTCTGCGTTTCCTAATATGTTTTGGGTGGTTGCTAGGTTGTTGCCATGTGTTTACTAATATGTTCTGGTTGCTAGGTTGTTGCCATGTGTTTCCTAATATGTTTTGGGTGGTTGCTTGGGCATTGCTATTTGTTTTCCTAATATGTTCTGGGGTGGTTGCTAGGTTGTTGCTATGCTTTCCTTAATGTGTTTTGGGTGGTTGCTTGGGCTTTGCTATGTGTTTTTAATGTGTTCTGGATGGTTGCTAGGCCGTTGCTCTGTGTTTTCCCAATATGTTCTGGGTGCTTGCTAGATACATTGATTAATTGTACAAAAATGATATATTATTTTGTATGCGTCATGCAGTTTAAATCTCAGAACATATTTCCAGTATTAAAATGAGACATTTATGTATGACTATGTGAAAACATCCTGACTTTAACTCAATAATGTGTGTGTGTGTGTGTGCTGGTGTGCCGTGCCTTCATGTGCTGGAAGTCGCTGATGCCCAGTTTGGGAAGGCTAATGCAGGAGATGTGGACCAGCTTTCGGCCTGTGATGAAGTTCTCCATGAAACACGCCTGAGGGAACCACACATCACGCTCACTCAGATCAGTGTCATGCACACGTCTTCCACTATACTTCAGCTAAACACTTAACTTATTATATACTTATTATCTTTTATATAATATAAAGATGAGCCAGTGAATCTTCTGCTGATGCAAACGCAGCACAGCTGAGTAATGATGCTTCTCAACTAACAGATCAACTTTACTGAGGAGAACTAAACACACAAGATAACAGTGTGAAGTGTGTTACCTTTGCATTATAAATAACCTATCCTCCTCATCACTATATTTATAATAATATATTATAAAATACAGTTGACCTTATACTGTGGAAATCCAATGGACTCGATCCAGAGCGCCACATCCTGACAACTCCAGTGCAGGAACTCCATGTTGTGTTGGGTTGCTATGGGAACCAGTCAACCAACACCAGTCAACCAACACAACAGCCTGAGACCAGAGAGAGAGAGTGTGTGTGTGTGTGTGTGTGTGAGTTATACTGTACACGTTAATACACACTCATTTTAGCAACATGAATTGTAAATATACAAAAAAAAATTCTAAATAAGTGTTCACATTAGAATCGATGAGAAATGTATGAATTGAGCTTTCTTTGCTCAAACCTGTTTTTTTTTAAATAAGGAAGCAATATAAAAAATGAGTACAAGTAAACAAACAAAACAGTAAGAGAACAAAAAGCAAAAGAAAAAACAAACAAACAAATGAACATACAAACATAGGATAATAATAAAAGAGGAGACAAGTGAGCCAACGTAAACAAATATACAAACAAAATCGACAGAGGGCAAGGTTTGTTTTAAACTGGGCTAAACCTGTTTGTTTTGATGGAAATTGACATTTATTTTCTTATGTTGGTTAATCTGAAGACTGCAGCATTTTTTATTCCAGTGTAGAATATTATGTCTGTGTTTATTGTACTGCAAATGTATGCTGATTTAAATAAACTTAAAAACTCCTGGTTCCCGGCGGAAAAACATCACGTGTTTGTCTCTTATTTCTGGCCACGCCTACACGCAGCACGTCATCAGCTGCTGCCGTCACTCAAACTCCAGTTCGGCCAAAAACACGAGCTGGTTACAATCAATACATCGACACATGAACGCGACACAATAGACTCACAATCTGAGTCACAGTCAAACCTTCTACTCGCGTTTTAAAGGTTTAACTGAACTTGTTCAAGGTTTGGGTGTAACTTTAGCGCGTTGATTCATTAACAAACAACAACCGCCGTAAGTTAAATTTGACATAAAGCATAAAAGCGTTTGACTGCAAAAACGAGTAGAATGTGAGAGTTCAGCAGAGTTTAATGCTGATTCTGCAGTGGAACACGAAACATGCTGAAAACACGCAAGAAAACCCACTGATTTCGGCTGAAGCTGCACCTGAGGTGTGTGTGTGTGTGTGTGTGTGTGTGTGTGTGTGTGATTGTTCAGGCTCATGTTCGGTCCTGTATTTGACTGATGGATTTGAAGGATTGCTGACGGACCATCTGTGGAGCTCCCTCAGGGGAAATTCATGTTTATTGATAATATAACATGTTAATTACTGTAATAATCTGCTGAAACAGGGAGTGTGTGTGATATTTAAACCCCGTCAGAGTCTGGCAGTGTGTCTTTCCTTCCTGCAGTGATGAAGAAGATGCTGATGCTGATGATGCTGCTGCTGCTGATCCAGGTGTCCTCTTCCTCCTCCTCTTCTTCTTCTGCTGGTTTGTCAGTGGGCTTTGGGAGCGCTCTTCCTTCGCTCAGTCGTCCTGCTAATGCCAGTCAGATCTTCTACAGCATCATGTTCGACGCGGGCAGCACCGGCACTCGCATCCACGTCTACACCTTCATCCAGAGAGATCCAGGTGAGACTCAGGTGTCAGTGAGGAAGAGCGCTTTATTTCCACAGCGCTGTGTACAGAACAGCTCGTTTCAATCGATGAGGCAAACTTCATCAAATTTAGGGCTGTGTGGGACGATTAATTGCATCCAAAAATTTGTGTCTTCATGATATATAGGGTTGGGAATCGAAAATCGAATGTCATCATAACAAATTGTTATAAAATTAAAAATTGGATTCCTATGGTGATATCTACGGAAGCGTATTGCATTCACTTGAAGAAAAAAAATCTACTCTGTTTTTCTAAATTAATGAGTTAATTATCTCAGAATTACGAGCGAATTTTTCATGGAAATGAAGTTTTTGCTCTGAGTTTTTGAGATAATCGAGTCATTAATTCAGAAAAACAGAGCAAAAACATTTTTTCCATGAAAAATTATCTTACATTTAGTCATTTAGCAGATGCTTTTATCCAAAGCGACTTACATCTGAGGACTAAATCTCATAATTCTGAGATAATTAATTCAGAAAGATTATCTCAAAAAAAGTAGATTTTTTTTCTTCAAGTGAATGCAATACACTTCCGTATATCGATATTTATTGATAATGATATCTACGTTGTTTTTTTATAAATCTATAAATCTGATTTATAGTTGTGTATTTTAAGTGTTTTCATAAGTGTTTTAATATATTATCAGGTAAAGAAAATTAAGATTTTAAGTTTAATGTCAGATTTATTTATCTATTTAAATCGTAAAATATTTATACATTGCATTTTTATTTGTTCAATGCACATTTATGCTGATTTAAATAAAAAAAAATACACCAATTAGAATGCAATGGACTGTACATTTTTAGATGCATTAGATTTTTGCATTGTGATTATTAAGCACATTTTCAATTTACATCTCATTACTGTAATGCAAAATAATCGGATTCTAATGACTTGAACATGAGAAATATTTGATTTAAATTGTGAAGTATTATTATTGATGTCTGAATAGATGCAATGTACGTGTGTGCGGTGTGTTGTGCGTGTGTGCGGTGTGTGTTGTGTGTGTGTGTGTGTGTGTGTGTGCGGTGTGTGTTGTGTGTGTGTGTGTGTGTGTGTGTGCGGTGTGTGTTGTCCTCAGAGGGATTTCCCGTGCTGGATAATGAGATGTTCCAGTCGCTGAAGCCCGGTCTCTCTGCGTACGCCGACACTCCAGAGATCGTGAGTCGCTGTTGGATTTTATTTTATTGTTTGTTTGTCATTGTGAGTTTTGCGAGCATGTGCTGGGGAAAGTTACAAAATTGCGTTACTCCCAAAAAAAGTAACTAATTTTGTTACTTTTTATAAAAAGTACAGTAGAGTACAGTAGATATGGAGTAGAGTAGAGTAGAGTACAGTAGATGTGGAATACAGTAGAGTGCAGTAGAGTAGAGTACAGTAGAGTTCAGTAGAGTAGAGTACAGTAGATGTGGAGTACAGTAGAGTACAGTAGAGTAGAGTACAGTAGATGTAGAGTACAGTAGATGTGGAGTACAGTAGAGTACAGTAGATGTAGAGTACAGTAGATGTGGAGTACAGTAGATGTGGAGTACAGTAGAGTACAGTAGAGTAGAGTACAGTAGAGTACAGTAGAGTAGAGTACAGTAGAGTACAGTAGATGTAGAGTACAGTAGATGTGGAGTACAGTAGAGTACAGTAGAGTACAGTAGATGTGGAGTACAGTAGATGTGGAGTACAGTAGAGTACAGTAGAGTAGAGTACAGTAGATGTAGAGTACAGTAGAGTAGAGTACAGTAGACGTGGAGTAGAGTAGAGTACAGTAGAGTAGAGTACAGTAGATGTAGAGTACAGTAGAGTAGAGTACAGTAGATGTGGAGTAGAGTAGAGTACAGTAGAGTAGAGTACAGTAGATGTAGAGTACAGTAGAGTAGAGTACAGTAAATGTGGAGTAGAGTAGAGTAGAGTACAGTAGATGTAGAGTACAGTAGAGTAGAGTACAGTAGATGTGGAGTAGAGTAGAGTACAGTAGATGTGGAGTACAGTAGAGTGCAGTAGATGTGGAGTACAGTAGAGTACAGTAGAGTACAGTAGAGTACAGTAGAGTACAGTAGATATGGAGTACAGTAGAGTACAGTAGATGTGGAGTACAGTAGAGTACAGTAGAGTACAGTAGAGTACAGTAGATATGGAGTACAGTAGAGTACAGTAGATGTGGAGTACAGTAGATGTAGAGTACAGTAGAGTACAGTAGAGTACAGTAGAGTACAGTAGAGTACAGTAGATATGGAGTACAGTAGAGTACAGTAGATGTGGAGTACAGTAGAGTACAGTAGAGTACAGTAGAGTACAGTAGATGTGGAATACAGTAGAGTACAGTAGATGTGGAGTACAGTAGAGTACAGTAGAGTACAGTAGAGTACAGTAGAGTACAGTAGATATGGAGTACAGTAGAGTACAGTAGATGTGGAGTACAGTAGAGTACAGTAGAGTACAGTAGAGTACAGTAGAGTACAGTAGATATGGAGTACAGTAGAGTACAGTAGATGTAGAGTACAGTAGATGTAGAGTACAGTAGAGTACAGTAGATGTGGAATACAGTAGAGTACAGTAGAGTACAGTAGATGTAGAGTACAGTAGATGTAGAGTACAGTAGAGTACAGTAGATGTGGAGTACAGTAGAGTACAGTAGATGTGGAGTACAGTAGAGTACAGTAGAGTACAGTAGAGTACAGTAGAGTACAGTAGATATGGAGTACAGTAGAGTACAGTAGATGTGGAGTACAGTAGATGTAGAGTACAGTAGATGTAGAGTACAGTAGAGTACAGTAGATGTAGAGTACAGTAGATGTAGAGTACAGTAGAGTACAGTAGATGTGGAATACAGTAGAGTACAGTAGATGTGGAGTACAGTAGAGTACAGTAGAGTACAGTAGATGTGGAGTACAGTAGAGTACAGTAGAGTACAGTAGATGTAGAGTACAGTAGAGTACAGTAGAGTACAGTAGATATGGAGTACAGTAGAGTACAGTAGAGTACAGTAGATGTAGAGTACAGTAGAGTACAGTAGATGTGGAGTACAGTAGAGTACAGTAGAGTACATTAGAGTACAGTAGATTACAGTAGAGTACAGTAGATGGCGCCACTCAAACAAACCTTTCATCTGTTCTGGGTTAAGGAACATTAGGATACAGGAGACTAAATCTAATCTAAAGTCATTTTTGTTTATTACTACTGTTGAAAAAGATCGTTAGCCATTAAATTAAACCATTAAACTCAAATATATTTATTATAAATGTTTTGGGTAAAATTCTAAAATTGCATTTTAGTGTTTTTATTCATTTTGAGGAATATTGAATGTTTTTGTGCAGGTGAGACGAGTAAATGCATGTTCACATTTAGTCTAGACTACAATAACCATCATGTTTACACACACACACACACACACACAGACACACTTTATTTCTCTCAACATGGGGACAGGACAGCTGTCAGTCAATAAATGGGAAAAATAATCCTGTGTTGAAGATGTAATCTGATGATGTAACTGGAGTAATGTGTTTTGTAATTTAACTTCTGTAAATGATGTGAGTGAGTGCGGCTGCTGTGCCCAGGCCGGACACACGGTGGCGCTGCTCCTGCGAGTGGCCAAGAGGACGGTCCCAGCGCTGGAGTGGAAGAGGACGCCGGTGATGTTCAGAGCCACCGCTGGACTGAGACTGATGCCGGCCCATAAAGCCCACGCGCTCCTGGAGCAGGTGCAGCACACACACACACACACACACACATTAAACACACAGCTCAAACAGCATGGAATTTCATTGGTAATTTTTGTCGTTTAAATTGTAAAATATTGTTTGTGTTGTTATGCAAATTTATGCTGATTTTAATACTAATTTGAATCCAATAAAACACTGATCTGTGTGTGTGTGTGTGTGTCTGCAGGTCCGAGACGTCTTCGACGAGTCTCCGTTCTACGTTCCCGCTGACAGTGTCAGTATCATGAACGGGACGAATGAAGGTTTGTCCTCACACAACAACATATAGACGGCAACATCGTGTCGGCCCAGATCCGGCCCGTGTGGAATCTGTAGAACTAGAATAAAGGAGCATTAGCCCAGATATATCAGGGGAACGTTCTCTGCTTATGAAATTTATGATCAAACATTCTTCCAGGAACATTAATTAAATCTACTTTCAAAGTTATCTGGTCTTTAATAATGTTCACAAAATTTTAGCACAAAAAAATGTATGCTGACTAAAAATTACACTTACTAAAATCCAATGAAATATCATATATTTTTATAGGAGCATTTAGTTTTTACATTGGGATAATTAATAATGCACATTTCATCAGTAAATTCAGTCATGAATGTGTGTGTGTGTGTAACAAAGAAGAACCAGTCATCTCCTCCTGTTTACTACTAGTTACAGCAGCAAATAAACATGATGAACATCAGAACTGATATCCAGAATAACTCTAGTGGAGCTTCTAGTGTGTTTGAATTTGACACCATTTAAAAATATATATTAATGTCTATTTATAAAGTTAGTTTTATAATTTCCTTGAGTGTAATTTAAGTGAAGAAACAATACTAGAAATGGAGTACAGAACAAGTGTGTGAGTTGTGTGTTATAAAGAGATGTGTGTTGTTCTCAGGGATTCTGGCCTGGATCACAGTCAACTTTCTGACCGGTGAGTGTGTGTTTGCTGGATATGAGCTTATGAATCTCTGTCAACATTTAATGCTGTTTTACTTCAATGAACAATTGTATTTATTACCTAACTGTTATTTTACATCAAGTTCACATGCTCCTTCATTCATAGTCAAACTCTCAGACGAGGTCTCGGTGTGTGTGACTGTGACGTGATTTCTGCGTGTTTGCTGAGTGTTTCAGGTCGGCTCGGCCGCGGCGCACAGAAGACGGTGGGAATCCTCGACCTGGGCGGCGGTTCCACGCAGATCACATTCCTCCCGAGGTCAAAGGTCAGTGCCAGGTTACCAGAAACATATTGTAGTTTTAGACTGAACTACATTACTGATCATTTTGTACTGTAACAGAGAGAGAAGAATCACTGTACGACATTAATGAGAAACTAATGAGGATTGCAAACAGAACTCAATGAAACGTCTGCATGCATCACACACATCGGATGGTTTTTTTTATATTATTTTTTGATATTTTGAATGAGCTTTTATTTGTGTTTCGGGACAAAATCTCCTGTCAGAAATGGTTTTCATGTTTATATTTGCGTGTTCTGCTTCCTCCTGATTGGTTCGTCACAGAAGACCGTTGAAAGCGCGCCGACTGATTACATCAGCAGATTCCACATGTTCAACTCCACGTATGAGCTCTACACACACAGGTACACACACACACACACACACGCACTCACTCATACACACACATACACACTTGAAGCTACGTTGAAATGACATCTGGATAATGTAAAATCAAGCGCTATTTGAGAATAAGAATGAATGCTAATAATATCTCATCTTCACAGTTACCTTGGGAACGGGATCAAAGCGGCTCGGCTGTCGGCGCTCGGAGCGCTGCGTTCAGACGGTGGGAAAACACGGATCAGGAGATTAGCTCAGGGTTTGTGTGTGTGTGTTGATGTGTGTGTGTTGATGTGTGTGTCGCAGGTCTGGAGAAGAAGGTTTGGAGAAGCTCTTGTCTGCCCATAAAACACACTGGACACTTCAGCTTCGGGGGGTTAACTTACCATCTCAGCGGGGTCACCCACGGTAAAACACACACACACACACACACACACACCTCTTCAGGTGTTTTCAGGTGTTGTGGTGTTCATGTGTTCAGTTGTTGTGTTCATCATGTGTGTTCAGGTGTTCTTCATCGTGTGTTGATGTGTGCAGGTGTGTGGGGCTTCAGGACGTGTTACCAGGAGATGCTGAAGGTGGTGAAGGGCTTCATCAAACAGCCTGTCGAGCTGCAGGACAGCGCCAGCTTCTACGCCTTCTCGTATTACTTCGATCACGCTGTGGAAGCCGGACTCGTCGGTAAGAACATCAGATATCTCCCAAAGGAAAAACATCAAATGTGTTGTGTACCTTGTGTACTGTGTGTGTTTGTATGCGTGTGTGTTATTGTGGCTGCTTTCTTGGCCAGGACACTCTTGTAAGAGAGTTTAATCTCAATGAGTTTTTTTAACCTGCTATAATAAAGAACGAGTTAAATAAGCTTTTTTATTTCCACCCACAATACTTAATCCTTCACCTAATTTGGTCAAAAATGACCCGCCTTTTAAAAATGTCTTGTAAATCTCTGGTTATGCTATTTTATCACCAAATATTGGATTTATAGTTTTTGATCAACTTGTTTTCCTTCAGTTGGTTTCGTGTCTCTTAATGGATATGATTGATCGTAGGCCTCATGTAAACACACAGAAAAGTACACAAATAATTAAAAACAACAAAAAATGTTTTAAGATATTGTCAATAAGTTTGTCCAATGTCTTCAAGTAAAAAGTAAATCTCAACATCCCTCAATTAAGCACTTATTTAAAGGGTTAGTTCACCCAAAAATGAAAATTCTGTCAGTATTTACTCCCCCTCATGTTGTTCCAACCCCGTAAGACCTTCGTTCATCTTCGGAAAACGAATTAAGATATTTAGGATATTAAAATCGCACCTGCATACAGTCCATAGGCTTCTTGAGGGACTGGCTCTTGCTGGCCTCGAAAAGTAATTGAAGACATCGTTAAAATAGTCCAAGTGACTACAGGGGCTCAATCTTAACTTTATCAAACGACGAGAACACTTTTGTGCGCAAAAAAACAACAAAAATAACGACTTTATTTCAACTATTCACTTCCTTCACCATGGGCCTGTAGTCAGTTAACGTAGTGTGATTGCGTAAAGCTACGTCACACGTAGGCTCACTATTGGTCGACGCTGGTCATGTGTGTGTGATGCGTGTGACATACAATAACAGAAGCTTACGCTATTAAACTAGTGACCTGACTCGTGCAGAGGGAGAAATAAACGAATAGTTGAAATAAAGTCGTTATTTTTGTTGTTTTTTGCGCACAAAAGTGTTCTCGTCGTTTGATAAACTTAAGATTGAGCCCCTGTAGTCACTTGGACTATTTTAACGATGTCTTTAATGACTTTTCGGGGACGGCAAGAGCCAGTCCCTCAAGAAGCCTATGGACTAGTATGCAGGAGCGATTTTAATATCTTAAATATCTTAATTCGTTTTCCGAAGATGAACGAAGGTCTTACGGGGTTGGAACAACATGAGGGTGAGTAAATACTGACAGAATTTTCATTTTTGGGTGAACTAACCCTTTAATAAATGTCTCACTTGCTGGTTTTGTTTGTTTTTTGCTGATAACGAATCTCAGATGAAGCCAGAGGAGGAGCCGTGAAGATCCGAGACTTTAGGAAACGAGCGAAAGAGGGTGAGCTTTACCTTTAAGATGTTCTCATCTTATATTTGAGCATGTTGAGATATGTACAATATAATTCATATTATACAACTCCAAACTGAAAGTTCACTCGTTGCAGTGTGTAACCGAGCGCCGAAGCGCAGTCAACCCAATGAGTTCCTCTGTATGGATCTCACGTACATCACCTGTCTGCTGAAAGACGGCTTTGGTTTTAAAGAAAGCACCGTTCTGCAGGTACGTCAGTGTTTCTGTCGTGTTTAATCTCCTCCAGGTTAGATATTTAACGCCAATGCTTGTGTTCACACAGCTAACCAAGAAGGTGAGGAACGTGGAAACCAGCTGGGCTTTGGGTGCCGCCATCGACCACTTCCAGAAGTTCCGGATTCATTAAGAACCAGCCATAAACACTCCTAGAAGTGCAGGATTTGTTCGGAATGATTGAGAAATGAACTGATGGTGTGGAGCTCATGCTAATGTGTGATGAGATCAGAGAGCATTAGCTTCTGGCGGTGCGATGCTACAGACGCACAAGGAGTTCTGGAAACTCATCGATTACATTACAGCCCATGCATCAGTCTGAGCATTTCTTATAGTTTGTTTTTTCTATTAATAATGTAACAACATGCTTATGAATGTTTTTCTTTATTAGTCATGATGTATATTTCTATCTTTAATCCTTTAAACATATTCTAAACAGAAACTGTGTAAATAATAAACAATCTCTTGACCTGTATCTCATGACTGTATTTCAACCACACACGACAACAACTGAACGTCACATCCGCGATCAGAATTATCATAAATACGAGTTTACTAGTTGGATATTGGACATGAACGCCCTCAAGTCGTATTTACAACTGAGAAACACTAAGATCATTTTGACTCGAGTTTCGGAGTCATAAACGTTCAGCATGGCGGAGGAGAGATCGATTGGGGCTGATAAGATGAATAACAGCACAAAACACCACAGAATTCATCGAATCCATCGATTTAACGAAGTTTGTTTTCCCTCCAAAATATGACGTCACTTCCTGGAGGATTATGCCGCTCGCGACGTCACGTGTGTTAAAGGGATTTTACAAAAGGAAATTTTGTTTAAATGTCCTGTGTTTTTTTTTTATTACTACTTTAACTGTACTGTTGATTATTTTTCGATATTTTTTATTATTTATTTATTTTCTGTGCTACTTTGATTGTAATGTTCTTTACTTTTAATAAAAAATAAAAATAAAAAATATATAAAAAAGGAAATTTTGTTCGACACGTTTCGATTAAAAAGTCATTTAAACAAATTGATTATTTATTAATGTGTTCCGTTTGTATTGTAAAATTTTGTTCGGTTCAAAAATGAACTCTCCGTATATTAACGTAATAATGACACACACAAAAATTAGTATCGTTAATTGTATGAGAACATGTTCTGTTGAAAAAGCTCCACTGTATAACTGCCAGAGACTATTATAAAAGGACTTTGATTACTGCCCACGTTATTCCCGATGAATTAAGGCACGCTTCGATGACTCATCGCTGCATTAGGCAGCGGCCAGCCATTGGTCCGGAGGAAGAACCGCGTGAGCAGGGAACAGTAACGGTGAGTGACGTCACTTGCCCGCCTCGCGCGGCTGATGATCAGTTGGTTTGGGAGGCATTTCGGTTGGGAAGCGAGAAACCTTACACTACACACGTCCAATAATGACTTAGACTGAATCCTGCACAAGTTAAGAAAGGTAAGTGAGCAACAACTCGAATCTATAAGCGTTCAGATGTTCCCGTTCTGAGTTAAACAGAGACTCTGTGTGTTTGTTGTCTCGAAGCCTCCTGACAGACTCCCGCGCGCCGTGCGCGTGCTCGACTAACTTCGGCTGAACTATGTTAATGTTTGTGTTAATCTTCACTTTAAATACACGTTGCACGATCCCTAATTAGTGTTTATTACTGTAGCTGTAGCAGCAGCGATCGCCATGTTCACTGTCCAGCTGCCTACAGTAACTTATAAATGAGTAAAACTCATCGCGTTCATTCGATATTCCTTCTTGGAAAAATTGCATAAAATAGCAAAACATGGGTTTTATGTTAAAATCATAATAAACCTGCAGTTGTCTGGAAGTGTGTAATTTATTTGCTCCAAACTAATTTTTAATTTGCACCAAACAGGTTTGCAACAATAACAATAGCTGTTACAGACAGGTTTCCGGAACACTCCCCTCGTCTGTAATTGGTCAGTCACACAGATAGCCCCGCCCCCAACGCATAAGTTGACATGTCGGCGACAGCTGCTGTGTGTGAAATCATATGATTCTGAGAAGATTTTCTACATCAAGTGTGTTTTTAATTATCTTTAGGAAAATTTCATATATCGTTGTTTACAATACATACTTTTTCAAAGTAGCTTTATGGAAAATGTTTGTTTAGTTAGTATTATGTTGTCAACCAGAGACAAGTGTCATAATTATTATATTAATATAGTAACTTACATGTTATGTTTAGTTATCATCATGAGATTTGTACGCTTTCAACTTCTCCTGGGTATAAACACTTAACACACTATAAACACTATAAACACAGTGTCGATCAGGAAATTATGTATGTCTGGCCACTGAATGCTTGGCCGTTTCGTTGTATGACCATGATGGACGAGGCTGTATGGCAAACGAATCAGACGTATCCCACTCATTAACGTAAGCTTAGTTGAATAACAGTCCTTATCGCTGGGTGACAAGCTGTTGTAGTACGCGGAAAACATTTTAAATATGTACCATCTAATCAATAAAATGTAATGTTTATATCTAACTACTATGTATAACGTAACGTATCATTTTGCTAGCTAACTCCTCTCCCGCGCTACCTCTTCTGCAACCATGCTGCGCGCGCATCCCGAATGTTGACAAACATATAATTGGCCTATTCAGTTTATGTTAGCTAACAACTACAACTTCCTTATGATTACAATATAAAATGAATAAAGGCACAGAAATGTTTCTATTTAAAGTTGTGTTTACAAGCTACTGGATTACACACACACACACGTGCGCGTTCACCACTGTGAAGATGGCGAGTCCGCATCTCTAACTTCATCTCTGCAGCCGACGCTGACACAGAAAACACTAGTTTATTAATAAACAATTAAAATGTCTCATGCATTCTCATAACTCACTCATCTCACACACACTCTCACACACACACTGACGCACACACGTTTCATGTTGGTCGTTTCACAGTAATAAACAGAAAAATAATGATTCAGTGATGCAAACTTTTATTTTTCTGTGTTTCTCCAGCAGGTTCAGATGCTGAAATCCCGGGAATCCTGTGTCCGATCGGGATGAGCCTGTAAATGATCCGGCGTGGGATCGTCCCGCAGCGATGGAGGAGAACACAGCGGAGGAGCTGGGAAACACTGGGATCAAAAACACGACAGAATTTGCTGGATCGGGAGAGAAGGATCATGGGAAGGGTGCTGGGATCGAGGTGAGGCTGGAGAACGAGTCGGTGTGGAGCCGCTTCCACAGTCTGGGAACGGAGATGATCCTGACGGATCGGGGAAGACGCATGTTCCCGTGCTGCCGGTTCCGGCTCACCGGATTAGACCCGAGTCTCAGCTACTCCCTCCGGATGGAGTTCACTCCGCTGGATGATTTCTCCCACCGATGGAACGGGGAATCATGGGAGCGTGACGGAGCGGCGGATCCTCAGCGTCCGGAGTGTGTTCGTCCCGACTCTCAGCGTCCGGGGTGTGTTCATCCCGACTCTCCGGCTCCGGGTCAGCACTGGATGGAGGGCCCGGTCTCCTTCTATAAGGTGAAGCTCACACACTCCTCTCCGGATCGGGACCGGGAGAACTCCGGAGTGCTCCTGCTTCCCATGCGCCGCTACATGCCTCGACTCCGCGTGATTCCCGCGTATCCCGAGCCTCATCCCGACGGATACGTGTTCTCGTTCCCGCTGACAGAGTTCTACGCGGTGACCCGCTACCAGAACCCGCGGATGACCCGGATGAAGATCGACTGCAATCCCTTCATGCTGGCGTTCCGAGAGGACGAGTCCAGCGCTCGCCTCATCCAGGATAAACTGGGATTGGCTCCGATCGGCAGGTGTTCGTCTGAGGACGATCCCAGCGGGAATACTGGAGATCAGCAGCACAGGTGTGTATACTAGCGAGTGTGTGTGTGTGTGTGTGATATATATATCAACTGCGATAATATCGTAATTGTTTTAACGAAGTGTGATTTGACACTATCGAGTAAAGCATCCCTCACACACACACACACACACACACACACACACTCAGATTAGACTAGTGCGAGTGTGATTTAGTCTTTGTTTATATCATTTAGTAATAAATATCACAAGAGTGAAGTTTTTCTCCAAATATCAGAATGATAACAAATGTGATATTGATTTTATACAAGTTTAATAAACAAGAAGTTAATATTAAGTGACTTACATTTTAGACTTGCCTGTTTTTGATATATTTCGCCAACGATAGTTTAAAACTAAGCCACACACGGCGGTGTTTCCTTGTTGAGTGAATCAGCCGCTCGAACGAATCGGTTGAATCTCAGTGATTCGCTCAATAACAGCGACGGGCTGCCCCCTACTGGTGGGCTCAACTTAATTTAGATTTAAAGTATCTTTTCTTATTTGAAATCATTTTAAATATCATAAATATTCAATATTGCAAAAATGGATTTTGTTGATAGTCAAGTCACATTTATTTATATAGCGCTTTTCGCAATACAGATTGTAGCAAAGCAGCTCAACACAGATCAATAATATTGTTAGATATTAAATATTAAATATCCCCAACTGAGCAAGCCAAAAGCAAGGCAACAGTGGCAAGGTTACTAATACTGATTTCATTTGATTGGTAACAGCCCTATTGTGTCTTATTTTTTAAAAATAATGAAATGTATGAAATTGACACAAAAGATGATGCAAACATATAATTAGGTTTAGAAAATGGCTTTATAAAGGTGAAAATGGCAATATTAGGTAAAAATCAATTGAAACATATTTGGAAAAAAAAATGTAAATAAATTTCCGACCCTGCTGTGAACTGAGCGCCACACGGAGAACGAAGAATATCGAAGACTTTAGGAGTCGGCCGTCCACGACAGTCCTAAACCTGCCAGAGTACACACACGACACACACACTCGGTATAATCGATATCGAGAAAATACCTGAAAATATCAAGAAATCATTTTTTGTCAATATCGCACACCCCTAGTGTGTGAGTGTGTGTCTGCCTGTGAGTGTGTGTGTGTGTGCTCTTTTGTAAAATAAAGTAAAGAGTAATGACAATCCTTTGCAGGTGGTGTTTTGAAACTCTGAAGTGTTGCTAATGCTCATGTGTTTCCCGCTGGACGTTTGCTCGTAGAGATCATATCTTTCAAACCTGTCTTGTGTTTATAAGTGTGAGCCACACATTGTTCGTGAACATGACCGTGATTCCTCTTGTTCCCGAACGGCAGCTCAACACGTCCCGAGTCCCGTGGAGGAATCCTGTCTCCTGACGGCCCTGATCCGGCAGTCGTGAGGTCGGGTCCGGCGAGGTCTCGGATCAGTCGAGCGCTGAAGCCCGTGAGCAGCCGCTGGAGTCCCGCTCCTCCCGCTAGCGATCCGGCCGGTGTTCCCAGGCGTGTGCGGGCCCGGCGCTCGAGGGGAGCGTGGAAGCCCAAGGCTAAGCGTTGGTCCAATGTGAGGTACTACAGATCCGCGGGCCGGGTCAACAGAGCGGCGGAGCCGGACGTGCGTCTGCAACCCGACCTGGAGGACGTGGACGGAGTTCTGTTCGTCTCCTTCACTGCCAAGGTATGATGGGTTTAAGGGATCCTTCTCCCAAAAATTACAATTAGATTTACTCTCCCTGAAGCCATCCTACGTGTAAATGACTTTCTCCTTTCAGACGAACACAGTCAGAGTTGTATTAAAGCAAGTTGGTCTCTGTTGGACACTTTCCCACCCTGCCTTTAACTATTACTTTTCTAATTCGAATTGTGCTAGTATTTAAGAAAGAAATTCAAATTGAGCTTTTCAGCCCTAGTGTGTGTGTGTGTGTGTGTGTAGAGGTGTTATTACATCATGTCTTGAGTTATGGAGTTATCCACATGAAAGGTTTATTATCCGGTGGATCTGTTCCTGTTTATTTCACAGGAGGCGCTCGATGTTCATGTGGGAAACATGAGGAAATCTGTGCACTCGACTCCAGCATCACACACACACACAACACACACCCAGATGGAGATCCTGCCACCTGATCCCGGTTTAACGACAGCAGAGCGAATCTCTGAGCAAGAGCTCGAGTTACTGACACACCTGAAGCAGCTGAAGAACAGACAGATCCTCCATCCTGCGCTGCAACACGGTGAACACACACACTCACTCACACACACACTCACTGACTCTCACACACACTCACTGACTCACACACTCACTGACTCACACACACACTCACTGACTCACACACTCACTGACTCACACACTCACTGATTGACTGACTCACAGACACACTCACTGACTCACACACTCACTGACTCACACACACACACTCACTGACTGACTGACTAACTGACTCACTGACTGACTGACTGACTCACTGACTGACTGACTCACTCACTCACTCACTGACTGACTGACTGACTGACTCAACGACTGACTCAACGACTGACTCACTGACTCACTCACTGACTGACTGACTCACTGACTCACTCACTGACTGACTCACTGACTGACTGACTGACTGACTGACTCAACGACTGACTCATTGACTGACTCAACGACTGACTCACTGACTGACTCAACGACTGACTCACTGACTGACTCAACGACTGACTCACTGACTGACTGACTGACTGACTGACTGACTGACTCAACGACTGACTCACTGACTGACTGACTCACTGACTGACTGACTGACTGACTGACTCACTGACTGACTGACTCACTGACTGACTGAGTCACTGACTGACTCACTCACTGACTGACTCACTCACTCACTGACTGACTGACTGACTCAACGACTGACTCACTGACTCAACGACTGACTGACTCACTGACTGACTGACTGACTGACTCAACGACTGACTCACTGACTGACTCAACGACTGACTCAACGACTGACTCACTGACTGACTCAACGACTGACTCACTGACTGACTGACTGACTCACTGACTGACTGACTCACTGACTGACTCACTCACTCACTGACTGACTGACTGACTCACTGACTGACTGACTCACTGACTCACTGACTGACTGACTGACTGACTCACTGACTGACTGACTCACTGACTGACTCACTCACTGACTGAGTCACTGACTGACTCACTCACTGACTGACTGACTGACTCAACGACTGACTCACTGACTCAACGACTGACTGACTCACTGACTGACTGACTCACTGACTGACTGACTCACTGACTCACACACTCACTGATTCACACTCAATCACTCACACACTGACTGACTCACTGACTGACTCACACACACTCACACTCACCCACACACTCACTGATTCACACACACTCACTGATTCACACACTCACTGACTCACACACTCACTGATTCACACACTCACTGGTTCACACACTCATTGATTCACACACACTCACACTCACTCACACACTCAGTCTGTTGCTCTGTTCATGTGTGTGTTGTCTCCACAGTGGGGCTGAAGCTGAGTGTCCTGGATCCGCTGTCCCCCATAGACCTGCATTATCTCGGTGCTCCGCTGCCTCCGCCGGCGCTCACACCATCCTCCCGTGAGTCGTGCGCTCGCTTCATTCATGCACATTTAATTAAAGGAAGTGTGTTAACGGTCTGTTTATTGTAAGCTCACGCTGCGGTTTCAAAGTGAACATGTTTTAGTGGCTCTTGTTGCACTCACAGGCTTTAACCAGCAGGTGTCCTCAGCGCGCTGTTACGAGTGACGATAGCGTAATCCAGCTAACAATCTAACAGTGAATTCGCTGAACTTACACGTGAAACTCGAAACATTCTAATATGGTGCAAAAGTTCATTTATTTCAGTAATCCAACTTGAAAGCTGAAACTAATATGTTATATAGACTCATTACATGCAGAGTGAGATATTCTTTTTTCTGGATTCTGTTTTAATGGTTAAATTCATTTTTGATCATCAAAAGCATGTCTAATTAAATGAAATCGTAATCAATTCTACAATAATTAATTTAAAGTTGAACAAAAATTACATTTTCCTGACTTATGAAATAACATTTGACTTTTTTTCTTGATTATTTTTCCGGATTCTGTGTTTTTAAAGGAGCCGAATTACAGTAATGAGATCACTTGTTTGTTTACATTATTAACATGTTTTACAGGATTTATTAACCCTTTGTTAATGTTTGTTAATAAAAAAAAATATGGTCATGTTAGTTCCCAATGCATTAATATTAAAATCGAGCCCCGCCTCCACTCACTCAGCTCACCACTGGTTGTCGATCACACGTTGATCTGATTGGTTACAAGGTGGTTTGTGACGTCAGAAACACCAGCGATTTCAAAGCGTGTTTTTGAGACTGTCTTTGGTTCACTGCAGTTTTAAGGAGGAAATACTCAGCAATGCTGTCCACTTATCAACCTAACACACGGTGTGTGTTAAAGCACATTAAAAACACCACATACACACATAAACAACATTAAACACTGGATTTACACCACAGGGGGACTTAAAAATACAGCAGTGATAGATTAACTTTAGTATTAATAAATGTTGTAGAAGTATTGTTCTTTATTTCATGTTAACTAATGAACCCTCATTGTAAAATGTTAGCAATTTATCCATATTAGAATATTTTCAGTCATTAATGTTCCCATCTCTTGGTGTGTGTGTGTGTGTGTGCAGCTACGGGCTTCGTGTCTCGGACCGGGAAGACGAACGACGTGACGCGGATCAAGGGCTGGATGGAGAAGTTCAGCTCGAAGACTGCAGCTGACAGTACGCTCATAATCATAAACAATAACAGACGCTTGATAATGATAATCAGCTGAAGAGCCGCCGAGGGACTGGATCTAACGGGGGACATGCGAAAGCGCCTGTATAATTTCGTGAAGCAAATTAGCCTGTAAATGCTTTAGATAAATACAATATTGGTCTAAACCCATGTGATCACTTTTTATCAATGTTATAAACATCATCATATTGTCCAACACTAAAACGTGCAGGTTTTTGTCAGGGTTTGTTTAAAAACATCCAAACTGATGTGTGCGGGACACTATAGTGTGTGTGTGTGTATCACTTAGAGCTGATGATGTGTTTTCTGTCATTTACACACACACACTGAACAACATGAAGCATCGCTTACACACTCCACTTTTTGAGCCGTCACTTTATCATGTGATGTTTTGTTTCAGGCAACCGTTCTGCCTTCTGCTCGGACATGTTGGACGAGTATCTCGCGAGTGAAGGCCAGCGGATCAGTGATCGCGCGGCTGTGTTCTCCGCTAGCTCTCCGGCGCCGGTGGCCTATCAGCTGCCCGTGCGAAGCCAAAGCTACGTGCGCACGCTAGCCAGTGTCCTCCAGACGCGGCGCGTGTTTCCGTACACACCTCCAGCGCTCGGCGTGCGCTCGTCCTCCAGGAGCAGCTCTCAGCGCTCGCTTCAGGACCAGCATCAGGACCATGATCCTCCAGTGTCCCGCGTGACGCTCGGGAAGGTGCGTTCCAGGCGCGGGAGAAAGCGCCGGCGGCTCCAGCTCAGGTTTAACAGAGACGCTGATGATGGATCCGCTAATAGTCTCGCGCAGCTCTTGATACACGAAGAACACGCCGTGGGTCATGGGAAGGATTCCGCTTGCATCACTAGCGAGAGAGCGAGCTTCGCCTTGAGTTCACTGCTAACGTCAGAGGTATGAGCCATCAGAAACAAATTACTCGCGGGCGGGTTGTGTGGTTGTGGGGTGTGTGTGGTTCAGGGAAAAGTTGTTTTTAATAGAGCCAGACCGATATAGAATATCGGATTTCAAAACCCAAAAATATTTGTATCGGTATCGGCCTTCAAAATCCTTTATCGGTCGGGCTCTAGTTTTTTTAGAGAACAGCTACACTTGCAATATATACTTGGTCAGAATATATGTAATAATTTCAATGTTATGTTTTCCTGTAAACACTGTTTCCGTTCGTCTGCGCAGCCCGCGGTGATGACGACGCAGCTCCGCGCGCGGGAGGCTAGCGGCGACTCTTGCGCTCAGCTCTTCTGCCGGCTGGGGTGTGTGTGTGAGAGTCTGGGCCGAGAGATCCGCGGGCCCACACACTGCAGACGCGTGCAGTGCATGTTCAGCTGCGGCTGCTTCAAACACAAGATCCTCCTGATCCGCTCGCCGGAGCCCATGCTAATGCACAGCGCTAGCGGCCTCATGGCCTTCCGTGAGTCTCGTGTTCTATTTCTACATAATTTCTACATCATTGCGCTATTTCAGGCAGTGTTGTTTATCTCATGACTTGTGTTCACAGCCGTTGACCCCGGATCAGGCACCCGACCCGCTCCAGCTCTCCCGGTGACCTGCCTGTGGAGGAGGAGTGTGTGTGAGGGCGATCCTGAGCCGCTCTTCGCTCCCAGACCAGCAGCAACACGAGCACTGCTCTCACACACACACACACACCGGCCCAGAGCTCAGGTGTGCAGAGCAACTCACTCACTCACTCACTGACTCACTCACTGATTCACTCACTCACTGACTCACTCACTGACTTACTGACTCACTCACTCACTCACTCACTGACTCACTCACTCACTGACTCACTCACTGACTCACTCACTGACTCACTCACTGACTCACTCACTCACTGACTCACTCACTGACTCACTCACTGACTCACTCACTGACTCTCTCACTGACTCACTCACTGACTCACTCACTGACTCTCTCACTGACTCACTCACTGACTGACTCACTCACTCACTGACTCACTCACTCACTCACTGACTCACTCACTCACTGACTCACTCACTGAATCACTCACTCACTGACTCTCTCACTCTCACACACACACACACACACACACTCACTCACTCACTCAATCACTCACTTCAAATAAATAATCTTTATTGTCATTATGCAAAAGAGTACAACGAAATTATATGCAGTCCTCCAATCCAGTGCAATAATCAATGTACACAAATGTGTGTCTAGTCGCGGTCACAGGCTCAAGGTCAGGCTCAGGGTCAAGGTCAGGAGAAGGAGAAAGAGAAGGAGAAGGAGAAGGATCCGGTGTACCTGTTTCTGGAGAGCATGATGACTTGTGCTCGTGTGAGAGAGTATAACAGCAACCCTCCACCTCAGGTGCACCTACTGCCGGCCCGGAGACCTGACGAAGCGGTACTGCACACACACACACACACACACACACACTGATATTCTCATCATCATCTGTTCATGACTGTGTTGTTCTCTCCCACTGACTGAAGGTGAACGGCGTGTCTCAGATGCTGACGTCTCAGACTGCAGGTCAGTCACGCTTTCCCTCATATTCTCCATTGTTGCGGCTCCTCTCCTCCCAGTCTGTCAGTAACTCTCTGTCCACTTCCTGTCTCTGTGAAGCCCCTCCTCCTGAAAACCACACTCGATTTTCTCAATGTTTTTTTTTTTTGCCCCCTCAGATTCCAGATGTTCAATAATCAAATAGACAAAAGTTTCTTCATAGACAAAGTTTCTAAATGGACAAAAAAGAAACGAGACCACATTTACTGAGTTTTATTCAGAGAAAAAAACCAGAAAAATCACAAACGAAAGAAACTAACACTTTAAAGTTGAAAAATGACCTATAACGCGTGTATACACTGGGTTGCACAGTTTTCATTTAGCACACTTCTTCATACACACATGCAAATGCATGCATACATAGGCGCGCACACACACCCCAGACAGCAAACTGACATTGAATCAACGTGGAAACGACGTCTCTCATGACATCGAAACAACGTTGATTTTGCTCATCGAATTAACGTTGAACCAACGTCAGACGCGGCATTCTTCAAAGCTAAATGAAATCGAAAATTGGTTTGCTTTCATAACGTTGAAACAACGCGTTGATTTCAAGTTGATTTTCCGTTAGTTTTGAAAGAATGACGCGTCTGACGTTGCTTCAACGTTAATTCGATGAGCAAAACAATGTCAGATCAACGTTGTTTCGATGTCATATTTCCACGTTGATTCAATGTCAGTTTGCTATCTGGGACACCACATGCTAAGATACGTGAAAGTTTCGTCTGCTGTCTAACACTTCTTCAGGCACGTATTAGTTCGTTTCTTTTATTGTTTATGCAATCCAAAACACTCTATCCTGCCGCGCTTCGTTTCCCTGTGCTAATCCTCCCGTCCGCCGCGACAAAGCTGCTGTCGGAAAGCATGCATTTACCGTACCGCGTGTTGCCGAAAAGCGCTGTTGTCTGCTGTCAGGGGCCATTTGAGTGGTCTTGATAGTGCAAACGGTTGAAGAGTTACGGCTGCTGGTATGAGCACAGTTTAAAGGGTTAAAGCGCAGTTATTGATGTTTGTTGTTTGTGTAGCGGCCGGAGCGCCAGAGCCCACTAAAATGCTGGAGATCATCTCTGGGTGCAACTGGGAGTCGCACCGGTCTCTGGTGCTGAAGGAGCTGTTCCGCTCCATCCACTCCGACCGGCTGTCCGCGCTGCGCTCCATCGACGGCTACCGGGTGGAGCTGCTCTCACAAAACCTCATAGCGGACGCGACCAGCTCCACGCTAACGTACAAGGTGTGCATTTCCCTGCTGGAGAAGAGCCTGGAGACGGCCGAGCCGAGGAAGGATGACGGCAAGCCCCGAGCCGAGCGTGTGAGGAACTCTTCTCAGAGAGTCAGCAGGACGAACAAGCGCGCTAATGCGGACGCCGGCGAGACACGAGCTAATCGCTTCCCTCTTCTGTCGCGCGTCGCTCCCGCTGGGTATCTGACGGCGGAGACGAAGACGGCGGTGTGCTCCGGATGTATTAAGGTGAGTCTTTCATTACACATCCTTCCCTCGGGTCATTTGGACCCGGAAATCTTTTTTTTGTGTGTGTGTGTGTTCATCGGAGGCGTTTGTTGCACTTGAACCACAAAATACACAGCAAAAAAATGAATGGATTTGAGTAGTTTTGTGGTCATTTGACCCCCTTAGGAATGCTTCACCAAACGATGAGTGTATAATGTGTACGTGTGTGTGTGAGCCGGCTTTAGGACCCAGCGGAACAGCTCATCTGCATATAGAGATATACGCCCATCTAGAGTATATGTATATATACACAAGTTGGCGGACCAGCGCCAGTGCTAATCATATATAGGGTTGGGTATCGAGAATCGAGTATCGATTGGAACCGAGACTAACTTTTCGTTTTTCCCGGAATCGTTCAAAAGTTAAAATTTCGATTCCTAGTTATCTATATTCACAGTCCGCCGAGCGGAAGAAGAAACCGCTGAACAACACCAACGAAGAAGCGTCTACCGGAAGTGTTGGCATAACCGCGCGAGTCGAACATGAGTAGCTTACGTCGGCGATCCAAAGTGTGGCTTCACTTTTCTAAAAATAACGAAATCTCGGCAAAATGCAAAATTTGTGACAAAAGGAGTATTTCCTTCAGAAAGGCCGTTGGTTTGCAAGGTTAGCTAAACTTTTTTGACCCTGCCTCTTAGAAGAATCGGAATCGAGAATCGTTAGGGACCGGAATCGAAACAAGGAATCGGAATCGGAATCAGAATCGTTCAAATTCAAACGATACCCAACCCTAATCATATATGTAAGATATGTAGAGCTGGATTAAAATGAAATTGTGAGTTATTTTGATTTTTTACATTCAAAGAATGTGAGGAATGTGCTTAAATTACTACTTAATTATCACATATTGATCAAATCTAGCAATTTAGAGGTAAATAAATAAACAATTTATGAAAAATATCAAAATGAGATGAAATAAGCTTTCTGGACAAAATACAAAAAAATTCAGTATAACTGACGTAAACTAGTCTCTGAATGGCGTCGTGTGCTTCTGACCTCAGGTGAATGGAAAAGCCTACACTCAGGCCAAGCTGTGTCTGGGTCGAATGGGAGCGCTTCATCCAGCCAATCGGCTGGCAGCGTATCTCACCGGCAGGATCCAACCAGCGTCCATAAACTCCAGATCCCAGTCCAAACCAGTGCCTGTGAACTCCAGATCCCAGTCCAAACCAGCACAGCTCCGGGAGACGAGGGACACCCCGCACACAGGTGACTGTACGCTCAGGCTCGCACGAGGTGCTTAAAGTGCTTGAATTTGAACTTGGTCCTATAGTGTCCGCTCAAAGGTTATAGTTACCGCAGTTATCGCATCTGCTGCACTTTATTTCTACCATTTTGTTTTATTAGTTTATCTATTTACCGTTTTTAGAATTTGAAAGATAATAAAGATATTGTTTTTTCAGTGAGATCTCTGATTGTAGTCCTTTGAAAACTACAAACTAGTGCTTACTATTGAAGCTTTTAATTGAGATTAAATGAGTGTACTGGTCGACCGAAATTAAGGATTTATTAAGTCGGTTATCTTTATTTCTACAGTGCTTTATACAGATCGTTTCAAAGCAGCTTCACAGTAATACATGGGAAAGTATCAGGATCCTAATATTAGCAGGGGTGTAAAGTCCAGGCTCAGAAAGTAAAAATCCTCCTCAGTGTTTTGTTCCAGTCGCCTGATTTGCTAATTAGCACAGTACTTCAGCCAGGAGAGAGCACTAATGAGGGAAATGGTCTGGCTGAGGTCAAGGGTGGAGCGTATCTGTCTGGACGTCTCCTGTCTGAGCCCTGGACTCCACACCTGGAACTGGGAGACGGTGTGTGTTCTGCATCCGGACTGCATGAGCGACTGTAACGCCTGTACGCTTCTCTTACTGTTTCCTGTTTAGCGGACCAGATCAAAGCAGCTTTCAGAGCGCCAGCCACGCAGACTCTGGCCATCTACCAGGCTCCCGACGGCATCAAGCGCACTCCAACACTCTACATATTCTCACATGTTCATAATCCTGCAGCTCCAGCTTCAACATCCAATCATGTGACATCATCACAGCCTGGGCTAATCCTGACCGCTGTAGCTCCGCCCCTTTCTTGTGCGACCACGGTAGCTCCGCCCCTCTCTGACCCAACTGATGTAGCTCCACCCCTCTCTGGCCCAACTGCAGTAGCTCCGCCCCTATCTGACCTGACCGAAGAAGCTCCGCCCCTCTCTGACCTAACTGATGTAGCTCCGCCCCTCTCTGGCCCAACTGCTGTAGCTCCTGCCCTATCTGACCCGACCGCAGTAGCTCCGCCCCTCTCTGACTCAACCGATGTAGCTCCGCCCCTATCTGACCCGACCGAAGTAGCTCCGCCCCTACCTGACTCAACTGATGTAGCTCCGCCCCTACCTGACCCGACCAAAGTAGCTCCGCCCCTATCTGACCCGACCACAGTAGCTCCGCCCCTCTCTGACTCAACCAATGCAGCTCCGCCCCTATCTGACCCGACCGAAGTAGCTCCGCCCCTACCTGACTCAACTGATGTAGCTCCGCCCCTACCTGACCCGACCAAAGTAGCTCCGCCCCTATCTGACCCGACCACAGTAGCTCCGCCCCTCTCTGGCCCAGCTGCTGTAGCTCCGTCCCTCTCTGGCCCAACTGCTGTAGCTTCGCCCTTCTCTGACTCAACCGATGTAGCTCCGCCCCTCTCTGGCCCAACTGATGTAGCTCCGCCCCCCTCTGGCCCAACTGATGTAGCTCCGCCCCTCCCTGACCTGACCGCTGTAGCTCCGCCCCTCTCTGGTGCTACCGCTGTAGCTCCTCCCCTCTCTGACCCAACTGCTGTAAGTCAGCCCACTGTGGCTCCGCCCCTCTCCCCGACGGTGACGGTCCTCCCGGCCTCCGCTCTGGCTCCGGGTCAGCAGGTCGTCCTGCAGCCGGTTGCAGGGATGATGGGAGTGAACATGTGTCAGTTCAACGGGCAGACGATCCAGCTGGTGCCGGTGCCCTCGGCGTCCCCCGTGCCCAGCGCAGGTCAGTGCCACACACACACTACTCACAACTCACACACTGTGTTCAAAAAGGATTGAATTAATAAAACTGTAAGAATTTAATATTTTTGGAATTTTAACAATAGTAGTGCACAAGGAAATGTATAATTTTTTTCCCCCCAAATTGTGTGTTTTCCATTAAAATTTTTCCCGGATTGAGTTTTATTGGGTTAATTCGAAGTTAGTGATAAAAAAGGATGTCTATAGTGGATTGAATTTAATAGATGAAATACTATTATTATTTTGCACTACTGCACAACAGTAATGCTTTATTTTGGTGTGTAGTGGTGGTGAAGAGCTGTGTGTGTGTGTGAGAGAGTGTGTGTTTGAAAGTGTGCACACACTCACTCTCTCACACACACACACACACACACACACACACACATATCACGTCTGATTCGGTGTTCAGCTCTACGCCAAATTCTGTGACATTATGTTTTATGACTGCGTTGCGTTTGTGTTTCCTGCATCAGGTGTAACATTCTCTCGTTGATTCTCAACAGGAAGTGCTCAACAGGAAGTTCAAACATCTACGCAACGACCTCGGGCAACCAAATCTGTGTTAAATCCAGCACCTTCCCCAAAGCTTGTTCCCTTCATCGCCCCCAGAATCCTCTCTGCGCCGGGAAACTCCAGCTTCACCTTCGGGAGCGCCGCACACAGCGGGTTTCCAGCCAAGAACAACATGCTCTCCTTCCGGATCTTCCCGCCGGCGTCCTCGGGCCTCCAGCACACAGAAGCAGGAGGAGTCGGGTCCTCGGTGCTGCTCCCTGGAGGATACAGGCTGATCAGACTGCCCATGGTGGTCCAGCCCGCTGTGAACCCCGAGAGAGGCCCGTCCGGGTCCACGGAAAGCCCACGGGAAGACGCACACCGATCCTGCGCTCCCATCAAAGCAGAACCCAGCGAAACGACACTCACCGCTAAAGTGGAGCCTTGCAGCGAGTCCCCGCGAACGGGCGCTGTGCACATCAAGATCGAGCCTTATGAGGAAATCCACCAGAACCGCGACCCGGACGCAGTCTCGACGCTCAAAGCGGAGGAACCGGACCCTGACCCCAACCCCAGACCCTCCGAGCGCGCCGGCCCGCCTCCTCACCCCACAAACATCAGCGGAGATTTCTCCTGCTCTTTATTCACGAGTCCGATCTCTGCGTTCTCAAAGCGAACGTTTGCCGTGGCTCCGACCCAAACACACACACCAGAAGCGCCGCACACACACACTGTGGACCGGGACAGAAGGAGGGAGGAGGGCCAGAACCGCATCCAGTGGCTGTGGAAGAGAAGTGCGCCGGCTCGGGTCTCGGAGGGTTCTGGTCTCGCTGCTGACGGCTCCGGCGCTGCGCTCCTGTACTCCAGCGACGGCTGGACCACCGAAGACAGTGTGAGTGTTGACCCGGTCATAGCCCGAACCCGGGCAGTACCTTTTACTTATTTATTGCAATATGCTGTATTTTATAATTGCTTGCGACGCTAATTAAACACACACCTGTACAAACACCGTTTCCCTTCGACACACGGGAAGAGGAAAAGCAGACGTACTCATTACGAAACTGTGCTGGGGTTGAAGTCAACAAACTTCAAAAACCGTGTGTTGGCGGACCAGCGCCAGTGCTAATCAGCTTCAAGTTTACCGGCACAGCTCCAACATCAGCCTTTAGATAGATAGACATCACGATACACCTCGCTCCCGATTCCATACGATATGTGCTGCGATTCGATATATATGTCAATTTTATAACACGGACCATCGGGAAAAGCTAAATCATACACTCATACAGACTGTACATGATGTACATGAGTCATATTTACAACAACAAATCATCATATCTTTCTGAGTTTTATTTCAGAAGATCATACACTCCTGCATTTTTTTTAACAGTCACTTGTCGCCCCCTAGTGGCGAAGCAACGTAATCCATAAATGCGTTATTTTAAGCAGCAAGTTTCTATCAAAAGCTGATTGCGATCGCTATTTCATATTTGAACTTTAATCATTTTAACTATTACCCCACAGGAATAATGACACTGTGAGGCTGGAAACACTGAAGCGGTTTCCCGTTCAATCTTGCCAACCTCGTCTACAAGCAAGGGCACAAATAAAGCAAATCAGTTTGAATTAATATTGATTCTGGAATTAAAAGCTATTATTCTCAACTCAAGCAGTTCTATATTTACCATTGCATTGCAAACAAGCAAAGACGTTCCAAACTGCGTGCGGCTCTTCGTTCTCAGTATTATGAGGTTCACCGACGCTGAGGGTCCACGGGGTTTAGTCACAAGCAGTTTTTAACACTTTTCATTGGTTCAATATTTGCAAAACCCAAAGACGAATGTAAAGATCTATTCTGCCTGAATCTGAGTGGACGCTACGGCACAATCTCTGACGGACAACACAACACTTGGAGCGTCCTCTGTGAGAAATTGAATTAAAATTGTGGCCTGTTTGAATCGTAGAATGAGAAGAGCAGTGAAGACGAGGTTGACATCGAGGCGTTCGGGGAGGATGAGGAGAGGATCATCGGCCGCCTGAGAGCCAAGGCCCAACGGTGAGCTGGTTATGAGTTGTGTGATCGCTCGTGTTCTTTCGTCTGGTGTTGCTGTGCTGACTGTGATCTGCTTCCTCTCTCCAGGACCACAGCGCGAGCAGCTCCACACCGCCGGCTCGTGAGTCTCTCGCATTATATCCCACAGTTCCCTTTGCTCACTGAGGCACAGACGTTTCTGTCAGCCGAAACATATTTATATGTTCATCATAGCTAAAATATTGAGATTTCAATCATTTAATGATACATGTTCTTGGTTCATGGCTCATTTTTATGATTAAATTCATTATTAACCGAGCTCCAAATCTCCAATCAGCAAACATTTATATGTATATATAATAAAATCCACAATCATTCCATCTCGGTACACTGGTGCGTATAGATGCACACTGAACGCATAAATGCTTAAAAAGGAGACTTAAGACTAAGGTTTAAAGATTGTCATGATGACCTTTTGTGTTTCAGCAAGGCGATAGTTTACACGATGGCAATTCAAAGTGCTTTACATTGAAAGGAATTAAAATAATCACAAAATAAAAGCAAGGCAAATTAAAACATTTATAAAAGGAACTTTTATTTTTCTCAGCTCCCAGTTTTACTCTGAGACTTTCCCATGCTGATGTTAAAATAAAATATTTGTATCAGTTAAACCGGGTTATTTTATTTTTCCAGCTAAAGGCTAAATTGTTGGGAAAAACATCCCATCATGCAGTGCGGTTGATGTCAGATCTGCCCGTGTACAAGCGCACGTTTCGTCTGAATCAAGCGCTGAGAGAGAGGAAGCGTCAGGTTGAGTTGAATCAGAGTTTGGATTCGTTGAGGAGGACGCTGTGTGTTGAAGACGACAGCATGAGCACCGAAGACCTGCTCCGTCAGGTGCGTCTCACACACACACACACACACACACAAATGCTGGAAATTCAACAGGAAAATATTGTGATGATTATTGATACATGTAACGTTTGAGATGTTTCCGCTGTCTGTCACATTCAGTCATCATCACCGATCGCTGCGTGTGTGACGTCAGTATTAGCTGTTTCCACTTATTTTAATGTGATTTTGGGATATTGCATACATACAAAAAAAACACTGGATGGAAATATCAAGATGTGCATAAAAACTTTGAGGTGGATAATTGTTTTATCCGATAAGAAGACATGATGCATAAACTACGCAGAAACACAACCTGAATAAATCCCTCAAATCTCATGTGACTCAGAGTCAGCTGTGATTGGATAACTGGAGTATCCAGCGGACCAATGGCATCACAGCGTCTCTAATGTTGTATTATTATTATTTTTTTTTCTGAAATGCCAGAGTCGAAGTGTGTGTGTTCAGAGTGATTGGGTGTAGTTTCCTCCAGAAGCGTCTCACACACACACACACACACACACGAGTGTGTTCCCGAACACACGCTCGACACACACTCGTTTATGATGACGCTCGACACACACTCGTTTATGATGACGCTCGACACACACTCGTTTATGATGACGCTCGACACACACTCGTTTATGGTGACGCTCGACACACACTCGTTTATGATGACGCTCGACACACACTCATTTATGATGACGCTCGACACACACTCGTTTATGATGACGCTCGACACACACTCGTTTATGGTGACGCTCGACACACACTCGTTTATGGTGACGCTCGACACACACTCGTTTATGGTGACGTTCGACACACACTCGTTTATGGTGACGTTCGACACACACTCGTTTATGATGACGCTCGACACACACTCGTTTATGGTGACGCTCGACACACACTCGTTTATGGTGACGCTCGACACACACTCGTTTATGGTGACGCTCGACACACACTCGTTTATGGTGACGTTCGACACACACTCGTTTATGGTGACGCCCGACACACACTCGTTTATGATGACGCTCGACACACACTCGTTTATGGTGACGCTCGACACACACTCGTTTATGATGACGCTCGACACACACTCGTTTATGGTGACGCTCGACACACACTCGTTTATGGTGACGCTCGACACACACTCGTTTATGGTGACGTTCGACACACACTCGTTTATGGTGACGTTCGACACACACTCGTTTATGATGACGCTCGACACACACTCGTTTATGGTGACGCTCGACACACACTCGTTTATGGTGACGCTCGACACACACTCGTTTATGATGACACCCGACACACACTCGTTTATGATGACGCTCGACACACACTCGTTTATGATGACGCTCGACACACACTCGTTTATGATGGAGGGAGAACAGCCGATTGCAGAAACATACTATTTTATTACTGATATTTTACACCAATTTCACAGGAAGTGATGATTTTGTTCTCTTGAACAAAACGCTTTATTTGCATATGGTTCATGCAATATGCCAATTTTGTGCATACGGGTAATTTAAAATCACAGCTTTGGATGGAAACCTGATTATTGATGTTTTATTTTCTCTGTCTCAGGCTCGTCAGGTGGTTGGAGCTCTCGAGGACCACGGCAGGTCTTTGATGGCACAGAAACGGGCTTTGATTCAGCAGCATTCTCATTATCAGACCCTGATCTCACAGTGCTCTGGTACACAATACAGCAGCACACAGCATCAGACCAGATATCAGCATCAGAACAGACACCAGAATCAGACCAGATATCAGCATCAGACCAGATATCAGCATCAGACCAGATATCAGAGCAGATATCAGCATCAGAACAGATATCAGCATCAGAACAGACACCAGAATCAGACCAGATATCAGCATCAGACCAGATATCAGCATCAGACCAGATATCAGAGCAGATATCAGCATCAGAACAGATATCAGCATCAGACCATCAGACCAGATATCAGCATCAGACCATCAGAACAGATATCAGCATCAGACCAGATATCAGCATCAGACCATCAGAACAGATATCAGCATCAGACCATCAGAACAGATATCAGCATCAGAACAGATATCAGCATCAGACCATCAGAACAGATATCAGCATCAGACCAGATGTCAGCATCAGAACAGATATCAGCATCAGACCAGATATCAGCATCCGAACAGATATCAGCATCAGACCAGATATCAGCATCAGACCATCAGAACAGATATCAGCATCAGACCATCAGACCAGATATCAGCATCAGACCATCAGAACAGATATCAGCATCAGACCATCAGAACAGATATCAGCATCAGAACAGATATCAGCATCAGACCAGATATCAGCATCCGAACAGATATCAGCATCAGACCAGATATCAGCATCAGACCATCAGAACAGATATCAGCATCAGACCATCAGACCAGATATCAGCATCAGACCATCAGAACAGATATCAGCATCAGACCATCAGAACAGATATCAGCATCAGACCAGATATCAGCATCAGACCAGATATCAGCATCAGGCCAGATATCAGCATCAGACCAGATATCAGCATCAGACCATCAGAACAGATATCAGCATCAGACCAGATATCAGCATCAGACCAGATATCAGCATCAGACCAGATATCAGCATCAGACCATCAGAACAGATATCAGCATCAGACCATCAGAACAGATATCAGCATCAGACCAGATATCAGCATCAGACCATCAGAACAGATATCAGCATCAGACCATCAGAACAGATATCAGCATCAGAACAGATATCAGCATCAGACCATCAGAACAGATATCAGCATCAGACCATCAGACCAGATATCAGCATCAGACCATCAGAACAGATATCAGCATCAGACCATCAGAACAGATATCAGCATCAGACCAGATATCAGCATCAGAACAGATATCAGCATCAGAACAGATATCAGCATCAGAGCATCAGAACAGATATCAGGATCAGACCAGATATCAGCATCAGACCAGATATCAGCATCAGAACAGATATTAGCATCAGACCATCAGAACAGATATCAGCATCAGACTATCAGAACAGATATCAGCATCAGACCAGATATCAGCATCAGAACAGATATCAGCATCAGACCATCAGAACAGATATCAGCATCAGACTATCAGAACAGATATCAGCATCAGACCATCAGAACAGATATCAGCATCAGACCATCAGAACAGATATCAGCATCAGACCATCAGACCAGATATCAGCATCAGACCATCAGAACAGATATCAGCATCAGACCATCAGAACAGATATCAGCATCAGACCATCAGAACAGATATCAGCATCAGAACATCAGAGCAGATATCAGCATCAGACCAGATATCAGCATCAGACCAGATATCAGCATCAGACCATCAGAACAGATATCAGCATCAGAACATCAGAGCAGATATCAGCATCAGACCAGATATCAGCATCAGACCAGATATCAGCATCAGAACAGATATCAGCATCAGACCAGATATCAGCATCCGAACAGATATCAGCATCAGACCAGATATCAGCATCAGACCATCAGAACAGATATCAGCATCAGACCATCAGAACAGATATCAGCATCAGAACAGATATCAGCATCAGACCAGATATCAGCATCAGACCATCAGAACAGATATCAGCATCAGAACAGATATCAGCATCAGACCATCAGAACAGATATCAGCATCAGAACAGATATCAGCATCAGACCATCAGAACAGATATCAGCATCAGACCATCAGAACAGATATCAGCATCAGACCATCAGACCAGATATCAGCATCAGACCATCAGAACAGATATCAGCATCAGACCATCAGAACAGATATCAGCATCAGACCAGATATCAGCATCAGACCATCAGACCAGATATCAGCATCAGACCAGATATCAGCATCAGACCAGATATCAGCATCAGACCAGATATCAGCATCAGACCATCAGACCAGATATCAGCATCAGACCACCAGAACAGATATCAGCATCAGACCATCAGAACAGATATCAGCATCAGACCATCAGACCAGATATCAGCATCAGACCATCAGAACAGATATCAGCATCAGACCATCAGAACAGATATCAGCATCAGACCAGATATCAGCATCAGAACAGATATCAGCATCAGAACAGATATCAGCATCAGAGCATCAGAACAGATATCAGGATCAGACCAGATATCAGCATCAGACCAGATATCAGCATCAGAACAGATATTAGCATCAGACCATCAGAACAGATATCAGCATCAGACTATCAGAACAGATATCAGCATCAGACCAGATATCAGCATCAGAACAGATATCAGCATCAGACCATCAGAACAGATATCAGCATCAGACTATCAGAACAGATATCAGCATCAGACCATCAGAACAGATATCAGCATCAGACCATCAGAACAGATATCAGCATCAGACCATCAGACCAGATATCAGCATCAGACCATCAGAACAGATATCAGCATCAGACCATCAGAACAGATATCAGCATCAGACCATCAGAACAGATATCAGCATCAGAACATCAGAGCAGATATCAGCATCAGACCAGATATCAGCATCAGACCATCAGAACAGATATCAGCATCAGAACATCAGAGCAGATATCAGCATCAGACCAGATATCAGCATCAGACCAGATATCAGCATCAGAACAGATATCAGCATCAGACCAGATATCAGCATCCGAACAGATATCAGCATCAGACCAGATATCAGCATCAGACCATCAGAACAGATATCAGCATCAGACCATCAGAACAGATATCAGCATCAGAACAGATATCAGCATCAGACCAGATATCAGCATCAGACCATCAGAACAGATATCAGCATCAGAACAGATATCAGCATCAGACCATCAGACCAGATATCAGCATCAGACCATCAGAACAGATATCAGCATCAGAACAGATATCAGCATCAGACTAGATATCAGCATCAGAACAGATATCAGCATCAGAACAGATATCAGCATCAGACCATCAGAACAGATATCAGCATCAGACCATCAGAACAGATATCAGCATCAGACCATCAGACCAGATATCAGCATCAGACCATCAGAACAGATATCAGCATCAGACCATCAGAACAGATATCAGCATCAGACCAGATATCAGCATCAGACCATCAGACCAGATATCAGCATCAGACCAGATATCAGCATCAGACCAGATATCAGCATCAGACCATCAGACCAGATATCAGCATCAGACCAGATATCAGCATCAGACCACCAGAACAGATATCAGCATCAGACCATCAGAACAGATATCAGCATCAGACCATCAGAGCAGATATCAGCATCAGAGCAGATATCAGCATCAGACCATCAGACCAGATATCAGCATCAGACCAGATATCAGCATCAGACCAGATATCAGCATCAGACCATCAGACCAGATATCAGCATCAGACCAGATATCAGCATCAGACCAGATATCAGCATCAGATCAGATATCAGCATCAGACCAGATATCAGCATCAGACCATCAGACCAGATATCAGCATCAGACCAGATATCAGCATCAGACCAGATATCAGCATCAGACCATCAGACCAGATATCAGCATCAGATCAGATATCAGCATCAGACCAGATATCAGCATCAGACCAGATATCAGCATCAGACCAACAGACCAGATATCAGCATCAGACCAGATATCAGCATCAGACCATCAGACCAGATATCAGCATCAGACCAGATATCAGCATCAGACCATCAGACCAGATATCAGCATCAGACCAGATATCAGCATCAGACCATCAGACCAGATATCAGCATCAGACCATCAGACCAGTTATCAGCATCAGAGCAGATATCAGCATTAGAGCAGGAGATTATGTTTTGATTATGTTGATCAATAAGAGGCCTATGAAATATGATACAGCAGCTCTATAGGGTGGAACTAAGATTGTTTTCTGACTCTTTCAGTGGCGGGAACAGAATTACATGTTGAACAGAAATCAGCAGCTCCTTCATCAGACACACCTCAGTCAGGTGAGCTCAGATGATCAATCCAGCGTTCCTGTATAAAAATAAAAAATGTTCATTAATCTTCATGTGTTTTCAGTGGTGAAGAGACACTCACGCCTGCCGAACATAGTCCTGAAGTCCTTCACCAGTCCTTCACCAGTCCTAAACCAGTCCATCAACAGTCCTTCACCAGTCCTAAACCAGTCCATCAACAGTCCTTCACCAGTCCTAAACCAGTCCATCAACAGTCCTTCACCAGTCTTAAACCAGTCCATCAACAGTCCTTCACCAGTCCTAAACCAGTCCATCAACAGTCCTTCACCAGTCCTAAACCAGTCCTAAGTTTTTTGTTTGTTTTTGTACAGTGTTTGTAAAAAGCAGTTGTGTAAATATCACTCAGGTAATGACTTGATAACGAGCTCGTTCACCCACATTGGGGAGATATCTGTCTTCTTGTTTAATGCTAAACATTTTTGCACAGTCTATGGATTATGGATTTGTTCAAGCCGATTTATTTTTGTGATTTATGAATCATGCTTGAGTTGGCGAGGCCTGTGTTCGTTTTCTGTCATTTGAAATCATTAAATTAGTCTGAGAGATTGGATCAGATTGATCTTCATGCATTAATCTTGTTTTGTCCGTTTTTAAATTATGCACATTCACCTCTTTATCATATTGGACCCGCCTCAGGATTGGGTTCATGTTACGGCCTTGTGCAAAAATAAACTGTATATCCAGAAATGTTTTGGTTGTTTTATTTTCTTTATAAATGTAGCAACATTACCGTTTTTAAGGAGTTACTTCTTATGCCCGACAGGAAGTGATGCGTGTGAACGGGTTTCCTTTCAGGTCTGAGGAGCTGCTGTAAAATCAGGCATGCACACACCAGGCTAAATATGAGCAGTTATGATTTACATGCATAAGCATTTTAAAACTCTTCTCAATAATTTAGTTTTATGGCACATCAGTGCTTTTTCATATAGTTTCTACAAATGTTTATGCATATAATGCATTAAAAATATAAAAAATGTATAAATGTGTTTTATTTGAAAAAAATTATATAAATATTAAAAATATATTAAATATGCATGACATTCATAGAGACCAGTTAAGTCCACAAAAGGTCTAATTTTTATTTTTTTATTTTAATTGTTTATTTAATCGGGACAGTGCACATTAATGGATAGACTAACATCTCTGTAAAGACTGTAAATGAGCCAGCTTATAGCATAAATGCTAATTTTCACCTGTAGTCCCGAGGCAGGAAGACAACAACATATAAAATAGTGCAGCAGTAGAAAATAACAATATGCAATATCAAGCAAAACACATTAGCACACAATCAGGCAGTATTGTATAAATAAAGTTATTCAAGATGAGGACAAAACTGAGAACTTTTTAGGAACTGTTTAAGGTGCTTTTTAAATGTGCAGTAAGTGGGACATTCTCTTAATATATATTTTCCAAACAAAGAAATATGATTTACTTGCATAAGCGTTTAAAATGATTTTTCATATTTTACAGTTAAGGCACTAGTGCTTATTCATATCTTTTCTTCAAACATTAATGCATGTAATGCATTATTTAAATATTTTTTTCATAAATTCATTGTATACATTTTATTTTTAGAAAATAGAAATATTTTCACACACAAAAAAAGATTTACTTGCATACACATTTTAAAACGTCCTCAAATGTACAATAATGGCACATTAGTGCTTATTTGTATTGTTTGTAAAAGTCTTAAATGTTTTAGGTCATATAAATATGAAAGTCAAATGATTTACCATTTCACATTGAGGTATTATCTCCGTTGGGTGCTAATGAATATGTAATCAGCGAAACGTCATGCGTCTCGAAGGCCAATCGGATCGGAGGATCGCTGATTAGCGGGGGCGCGCAGGCTCGTGAGGGGTGATTCCTCAATACTGTGTATGGGTGACTCAAACTCAGGACTCGCTTGTTGAGATTTTGTTACTGGAGTTTGACACGAATGTGTGTGTGTGTGTGTGTGTGAGCTCTGGTCTCTGTGAAGCTGAAGGACATGGAGGCGTTCACCATCAAGAGTCGCATTAAAAGCCTCCTGCGCTCACCGTCCGTCCGGCTGAGGAAGAGGAGCAGAGACGAGCTGAGGAGACAGCAGGTGATGATGAAGGACGCCGAGAGCGAGTGTGGAGCAGGGGTAGGGTCAGGGTCAGGGTCAGGGTTAGGGTTAGGGTCACGGCTCTCAGCACTCTGAGAAGTAACGAACTGCAGCTTGTTGTTTTGATGATTGTTACATTTACTTGTTACAATTATAAAAGTTTCATCACTGCAACAAACATCAAAGGAAACTTTTAATAAACCGCGACCGATTATTTTGTATCATTTGATCGATATTTGTTGATTGCATTTGATTCGTTCAAGTGCTGATCTGTTGTGTCATTCATCACTGATGATGATGATGAGGATGATGATGTTTTCTGTGTAAGACCAGGAGCAAAGGGCAAATGTTTGAGTTTGTGAGACAGTGAAGAGTCGATGATATTGACAAGCTTAACCTCATCAGCGCATTCCCGTGATGCTCCGGTGTGTGTGTGTGTGTGTGTGTGTGCTTAATGCATTTTTTTTATTTATTTTTTTTACTTTTAAATTACTAGATTTGTTCAATTAATAGTAAATAAGTAGTAATTTAAGCACATCCCTCTCATTCTTTCAACTTAAATTCAAAATAACACAATTTCATGCATAACTAATAAATTTTAATTCAGCTCTACATATCTTACAGTGGGAGTCTTTGACCTCTTGTGGGAATAATAATAACACATGATATTTCATAACTCTAGATGGGCGTATATCTCTATATGCAGATGAGCTGTTCTGTTATTAGTTTTGTAGTTTAGTTTCTGTTATTATAGTGTACTCATGTTATTAGTTTTAGGTTGAATTTTGAGCATTTATAAGTTTTCTACGTGAACTGAAGCATTCCTAAGGGGGCCGAAAAATTCAACATGAGGGAAGGATTTTATACTTCTAAAAAATAAAAAATCAACCATAAAACTCATTGAATCCGAATTAAAAAGTGTATTTGTGGTTCAAGTGCAACAGAAGTCCTGGGGTCTCGACCCCTCTCATGAACACTCAATTTAAAACACTGACCCGAGGAAAGGATGAGGGTTAATACATGTTTTGTTGTGTGTGTGATGCAGTGATCTTCACTGTAAGTCCTCTGTGTGTGTGTGTGCTGATTGTGTAGTATCTGATGTGGGAACGTGTGTTTATCAGGTGACGTTAGAGAAGGTTCTGGGCATCACGACCGCAGGGAACAGCGGTTTAACATGCGACCCGTCTTCAGGAACCATCGCTTATCCAGCTGGGTGAGACACACACACACACACACACCTTCATCAGGGGGACGGCCTGTTTACTGTGACGGGAGTGAATATACAGCGTGTCCATCACTGCGAAACGTGTTTCTGTCTTGTTTTCCAGCATAATTATATAAACACTCTTAAATGGAGATGCGAATGCTGGAGAACTGAGAGATCAAGTGTTGCTTTAGTTTAATAGTCAATCATTTTATCCCTTAAAACAAGGTGGTTTGTGACGTCAGAAACACCAGCGATTTCAAAGCGTGTTTTTGAGACTGTCTTTGGTTCACTGCAGTTTTAAGGAGGAAATACTCAGCAATGCTGTCCACTTATCAACTTACACACGGTGTGTGTTAAAGCGGATTAAACACACCACACACACACATCAACAACATTAAACGCTGGATTTACACCACAGGAGGACTTTATCATTTTTATGACCTCATTGGCAGATCTTATTTTAAACTCAAACTTGAATTTTTCAGAAAACACGAGTGTCTGCCCGTCTCGTGTGAGCCTCCTCTCGTTGTGTTATTGGTTTGTTGAGGAGTTTCAGGAAATGCTCTTTCCCGGGAGCGTTACAGAGATTAACCAGCTCTCACTGAAAACACAACATTAGTTAAAGCTTTAGGCCTGTAAATGAACTTGTGGATTGAACGCAGTGTTTGTGTGTGTTTGTGTCATTCAGGTGCGTCGTTGTGTTACTGAACCCGGCCAAAAACACACAACAGCATCTCATCAGCTCCTCCAGGTGAACACACACAACATCACAAGCCCTTTAATCCCTCATGTGTTCAGGCTCTCCTAGAACAGGTTCTCCTGCTTGAATGTTGATTATTCTCCTCATATTCTCCATTGTTGCGGCTCCTCTCTTCCCAGTCTGTCAGTAACGCTCTGTTCACTTCCTGTCTCTGTGAAGCCCCTCCTACAGAAAAGCACACTGTGCTCTGATTGGTCGGCTGGAGCGGTGTGTTGTGATTGGTCGAGTGTGTTTGGGAAATGCCCCGCTCCTTTCCATAACCGCCAATTTAACACACTACTAACTAACTCAACCAGGCCCCGCCCCTTTATTCTGCATATTAATTATTATAATGAGGAATATTGTGACGTGTTCGTTCCCGGGAGAAACGCGAGACTAATGGAGGCGTTTCAGGAGTTCAGAGGAGAACTGGAGCTGCAACATCACACACACTAAACACAGATGAATATATTGTTTGATATGTATGTTGTGAATATTATCTGGTATTCAGGAAAGCCATCAGCACACTGTCCTTCTCGTCCGACGGCCGGTTCCTCGTCACTGGAGAGGTGAGAGACTCAAACACACGTTTAGTTCTCAGTGGCAACGTGCACACACACACACACACACACACACACACACACACACACACACACACCACTCTTGCTTCTGGATGTAGTGTTTACGTGAGTGCGTGTGATCGGGTCGATGTGTGTGTTTATACGTCACACACTTCGAGTTTCTGCAGTTTGCACATAATAACTCTTCTCCTGCGCTGCCTCTTCATTTGTTTTAAAGGGCATTAATGCCATTACGCTATTATCTACATCATTGCTCTATTTCTCCGTCCTCAGAGCGGTCATCTGCCCGCGGTGAGCGTTTGGGACGTGTCCGAGGGGACGCTGGTGTCGGAGATGCTGGAGCACAAGTACAGCGTCTCCTGTGTGGCGTTTTCACCAAACGGCAAATACATCGTGAGCGTCGGATCACAGCACGACATGAGCCTGAACCTGTGGGACTGGAAGGTACTGATTACCTGATTACCCACAAATCAATCCATCCACCCATCCACCCATCCATCCATCCATCCATCCACCTATCTACTGGTCCGTCCGTCTGTCCATCCACCCATCCATCCACCCATCCATCCATCCATCCATCCATCCATCCATCCACCCATCCATCCATCCATCCACCCACCCATCCATCCATCCATCCATCCATCCATCCATCCATCCACCCATCCATCCATCCACCCACCCACCCATCCATCCATCCATCCATCCATCCATCCATCCATCCATCCATCCATCCATCCACCCATCCATCCATCCATCCATCCATCCATCCATCCATCCATCCACCCATCCATCCATCCACCCATCCATCCATCCATCCATCCATCCATCCACCCATCCATCCACCCACCCATCCACCCATCCATCCATCCATCCATCCATCCATCCATCCATCCATCCATCCATCCATCCATCCATCCATCCACCCATCCATCCATCCACCCATCCATCCATCCATCCATCCATCCATCCACCCATCCATCCACCCACCCATCCACCCATCCATCCATCCATCCATCCATCCATCCATCCATCCATCCACCCATCCATCCATCCATCCATCCATCCATCCACCCATCCATCCACCCACCCATCCACCCATCCATCCATCCATCCATCCACCCATCCACCCATCCATCCATCCATCCATCCATCCACCCATCCATCCATCCATCCATCCATCCATCCACCCATCCACCCATCCATCCATCCATCCATCCATCCATCCATCCATCCATCCACCCATCCATCCATCCATCCATCCATCCATCCATCCATCCATCCATCCATCCATCCATCCATCCACCCATCCATCCATCCATCCATCCATCCATCCATCCATCCATCCATCCATCCATCCACCCATCCACCTATCTACTGGTCCGTCCGTCTGTCCATCCACCCATCCCTCCATCCATCCATCCATCCATCCATCCATCTATCCACCCATCCACCCATCCCTCCATCCATCCCTCCATCCGTCCGTCTCTGATCTCCACCCATGGTTTGCTCTGGTCCTCCTGCAGAAGCTCACTCTGCTAGCTGCTAATAAGGTGTCCAGTAAGGTGACTTCGGTGTCGTTCTCGGAGGACGGCTCTCACTTCGTCACCGCGGGGAACAGACACGTCCGCTTCTGGTATCTGGAACCCTCACACTCCCATAAGGTACGTCTATGACCTTTGACCCTGCTCATTGAGAGGTCACAGCAAAACGACAACATTGACGAATCGTCCCATGATGCTCTGCAGCCGGTGCCGCTGATGGGCCGCTCTGCGCTCCTCGGGGAAATGCAGAACAACTTCTTCTGTGGTGTGGCGTGTGGACGCGGGCCGAGGTCCGACAGCACCTTCTGCATCACCTCCTCAGGACTGCTGTGTGTGTTCAGCGGCCGGAGAGTTCTGGAGCGCTGGGTCCATCTGCAGGTCCGCACACACTCACACACACACACACACACGTCTTTTGAAACAGTCTTATTTTGTGAGTTCAGTGAGGATGAGGATCGTGATCATGTGTGCAGACGAGTTCGGCTCATGCTCTGACGGTGACGGAGGATCTGATCTTCTGTGCGTGTGCCGACGGAACCGTACGCGTCTTCAGCCCGTCGGACCTGCAGTTCATCTGCTCTCTGCCCCGCCCACATCACCTGGGCATCGAGGTGTCCGGCGTCACACAGTCCAGGTGATTCATTACCCACTCACCCATCAACCATTAACCAACCCATACATAAACCAGTCCATCAACCCACTCACCCATTAAAGGGTTAGTTCACCCAAAAATGAAAATTAAGTCATTAATTACTCACCCCCATGCTGTACCAACCCCGTAAGACCTTCGTTCATCTTCGGAACACAAATAAAGATATTTTTGATTGAATCTGAGGGCTGGATCACTCTTCCATAGACAGCCTGAGGGACTGCCTCTTGACGGCCCAGAAAGTCATTAAAAGAAAAGGTTTAAATATTCCATGTGCCTATAGTGGCTCAACTATAACTTTATCAAGCGACGAGACTACTTTTTGTGCGGAAAAAAACGTAAATAACGACTTTATTCGACTTTCCATTACTTCCTTATGGGCGCATGCGCGAGAACTGAGACGAGACCGTTCTTCTTCGACTACTTTTTGTTACCGGCTGCTCACCGCTTAGGAGTTTTACCGCCCCCTACCGTATAAGATGACGTACTGCTTGTAAACAGAACGTTTTGCGCCTCCGGCTATATCAGTACGTCATCTTATACGGTAGGGGGCGGTAAAACTCCTAAGCGGTGAGCAGCCGGTAACAAAAAGTAGTCGAAGAAGAACGGTCTCGTCTCAGTTCTCGCGCATGCGCCCATAAGGAAGTAATGGAAAGTCGAATAAAGTCGTTATTTACGTTTTTTTCCGCACAAAAAGTAGTCTCGTCGCTTGATAAAGTTATAGTTGAGCCACTATAGGCACATGGAATATTTAAACCTTTTCTTTTAATGACTTTCTGGGCCGTCAAGAGGCAGTCCCTCAGGCTGTCTATGGAAGAGTGATCCAGCCCTCAGATTCAATCAAAAATATCTTTATTTGTGTTCCGAAGATGAACGAAGGTCTTACGGGGTTGGTACAGCATGGGGGTGAGTAATTAATGACTTAATTTTCATTTTTGGGTGAACTAACCCATTAACCAACACACCAATCCATCCACCCATCTGAACCCGAGACGTATCTGATCCGATCTCTGTTCTTTAGCAGAAAGCCTGATGCCCGTTACCCAGACTCGGTGGCGGTGACCTTTGACCCTGTGACCCGCTGGCTGTCCTGTGTGTATAACGATCACAGTTTATACGTGTGGGACGTGCGAGATGTGCAGAAGGTGCGCAAAGTCCACTCGGCGCTGTATCACTCGGCCTGCGTCTGGGATCTGCAGGTGTGTGTGTGTGTGTGTGTGCGTGTGTGTGCGTGTGTGACACTGAAGACTGGAGTAATGATGATAAATCCAGCTTTGATCACAGGAATCAATGACACTTTACTGTATATTCACATAGAAACAGATGATTTACAGTACACTGTTTTACTGTATGTTGTTGAGCAGGAGAGACTGTAATGTTTGTTCACCTGAACTGTGTTCCAGATGTTCCCCACGGACGGCTCGCAGGCGTTCGGTTCCTCTGAGCCGCTGGTCAGCTGTTCCTCGGACGGCACCGTCCGTATCTGGAGGTCAGACGCGGCTCACAGCGCCGGCCCGCTGAGCAACGTGAGTCTGAGCGCTGAGTGTGGTGATGCTGGTGTTTCTGACGAGTGACGGACTGACTCCTCCTCTCTCAGGATCTTCTTCACGTCCTCTACATGAGCGACGACACCGCCGCCCTGCTGGACGCGGAGGGAACTGCGCTCACCGACGGCTCGAGCGGCATCAGGAGCATCAGCGTCAGTCCTGACGGGAGACACCTGGCGTCCGGAGACCGAAGCGGCACGCTGAGGTACGGCTGGTCAGATGGGTGCTATAATCACTGTTATGATGGATTATGATGCTGTGTGTGTTTGCAGGATCCATGACCTGACGTGTATGAAGGAGATCCTGAGAGCTGAAGCGCATGAGTCCGAGATCTCCTGTCTGGAATACTCCAGTCCTCACACAGGTGTGTGTCCATCCATCCACTGCAGCGTTCCCAGAGCCCAGACCTGAGAGTGTGTGTGTGTGTGTGTGTGAGACAGGAATGAACCTGCTGGCCACAGCGAGTCGAGACCGGCTGATCCACGTGCTGGATGTTGAGGAAGACTACGGTCTGCTTCAGACTCTGGATGAGCACTCGTCCTCCGTCACGTCCGTACGCTTCGCCGGTGAGAGTCGGGTTATTATTCGCATCACAGAGTAAATATGCAAGTAGTCGCTACGAGTCGCTAGTAGCCAGTGTGAAACATGATTCGAATTCAGAGTGACTTTGAATTAAGATGAAATGAGTTTGAGCCGTACAAACTGTGTGTGTGTGTGTGTGTGTGTGTGTGTAGCCAGTGACGGGAAGTTGAGGATCATCAGCTGCGGAGCGGATAAGAGTCTGTACATCCGAACCGCACACAGGGTGAGTTATTGTGCTTTACGGATATTATCTTTCATAAGTGTGTAATAAAGCTGGAAAAGTTTCATTGTCTCCTAAAAGAAAGAAGTGATTCTGAACTAGAACGAGTAATTCAGTCTCACTTCCTGATCAACCTGTGTAACTCATTAGCATAATACGGTCTTGATTGGCTGAACAGTGTCTCTTAGCCCCGCCCTCAAACACTGCAGTGTATCTGCGACTGGAGGAGTTCGGCTCGTGGTGTTCGTGTCGCTGTTTTCTGAGACTGATCCGATGAAACCCACTGTGATCCAGAGCTTTGAGCGAGCACTAGGGGTGGAAATATTAATCGATTCGTATCGATCCACCGAATATCCAGCCGCCGATTCGCTGAATTGATGCGTCCGCAAGAGAATCGATTAATGTGTTTAATTTGCTGCCTGTCTATTTCCATCAAAAGATGAGCGATGAGCTGAAGATCGAGTGCGGTGCGTCTCGCTCGCGGGTGACGGTCATTAACACTCACGTCGGCCGCGTCCTGCTCGCCACAAATGCTGTTTCTGTATTCTCAATAAAACACTATTTATTTTTTAAAAAAATTTTTAATGGCCCGCTGGCTCTTTTATATTATATCCAGTTAATTTTTATTTCAAGTAGTGAGATATTTATGGTTTTAGTTGACTATATTAACCCCGGTTTGTTTAGACTGTCAGAGGAACCGCGTTCAAACAGACGCATCATGTGGTTCGGAAAACGACTCCCACTGACATGGACGTGGATCCCTCCGGCAAGTACGCAGCCGTCGGCTGTCAGGACCGCAACGTCAGGTGAGCGGAGGAGCCAATCAGAGAAGAGGATGAGGTGCCGACGCAGACCTGTGTTCATGACTGTGTGTGTGTGTGTGTCCTCTAGAGTGGTCAGCATCAGCAGCGGGAAACAGAAGAGATCTTTTAAAGGCTCGCAGACTGAAGACGGCAGTTTGCTGAAGGTCAGACCGGCTGGTTCTCGCTACACATTCAATGTTAAACGAACTCTTGCGCAGTAATGGCACTCTTGGATGGAGCGTAACGTAAGTGGCGCTGGGAGATCATCATCAGTCTGTTTGCAGGTTCGGATGGATCCGTCGGGTCAGTACGTGGCCACCAGCTCCTCCAATAAGAGCATCAGCCTGTTGGACGTCCAGACCGGAGAGTGTGTGGCCGCCGCGTTCGGACACTCAGGTGAGGTTGGCAGACTCTCTCTGACTCTTCTGTGGGAACTCGTGTGCTGATTGGCTGTTCTCTCTGACAGAGGTCGTCACGGCTCTGAGCTTCAGCAGCGACTGCAGGCGTCTGGTGTCGGCTTCAGCGGACAGGCGAGTCCTCCTCGTCTTCACGGGTTTAATCTTATAACACGTATTCGACTCCAGAACTGGAATTGATTTTGGATTCCCAACCCTATCCCGCTGTGTGTTCGTCTGCTGTGTTTCAGCTGTGTGTTTGTGTGGCGACTCGCTCCGGAGCTGACCAGCAACATGAGGGAGCGACTGTCGGAGCGCAGACGTCGTCCCAGCGGCCCGAGCGCTAGAAGCAATCCCTTCAGGTACAGGACTGAGCGAGTCACATGCGCTGAAGGTCAAACACACTTTAATGTCCTCCAGCATCAGTTCTTCTCTCAGTCTCTCTAAACCCCGCCTCTCTGAGAGCTGCTCTGCTCTGATTGGTCAGATGACCTGTGTGTGTTTTCGGTCTATTCTAGTGTTTCATATAATGAGAAAGTGAAGCACTAAATCTTATTTCTAAAAGTGTGTTTTCTCAGACGGTCCGCGAGTGGATTCACACTGCGCAGATCTCCATCCATCACGAGCTGCTCGTCTGACACTCACCGAGAGGAAGATGATGATGATGATGATGTATCCGTGACCTCACCAGAGAGACGGAAGGACCACGGTCAGCGTGAGGGCAGTGTTGAGGAGGCGATGGGTCAGAAACACTTCCCTTGCTTTTATTCAACATTTTTACAATTACAAAAAAACAGACAAAACCTCTTTCTGGGCATGAGCAAACATGACTTAAATTCCATACTTTAACCACAATTGTGTCCCCAAAATATGATCCAAGTACACTCTACTCCCACACACACCCCTGAACTCCTACAGACATTAAAGGAGTAGTTCACTTTAAAAAAACTTTAGCTGATAATTTACTCGCCCCCGTGTCATCCAAGATGTCCATGTCTTTCTTTCCTCAGTCGAAAAGAAATGAAGGTTTTTGATGAAAACATTCCAGGATTTTCTCCATATAATGGACTTCAATGGGGACCAAACGGTTCAAGCTCCAAATGAGAGTTTCAGTGCAAACTGTTCAAAGGACTTTAAACGACACCAGATGATGAATAAGGGTCTTATCAAGCGATCGCTGATTTAATAAATAAATAACAAAGTTTACGTTTTATAAGCTAAAACGCTCCCCTTGCTCTGTTCTGTGATGCGCGTTCGTGACTCTCCTGTTCGAACTCGTTCAACAAAATGAACAAAACTTTTTCCGAAGTATCAATTCGTTCGTTTCTTTCGCTGAATGAACCAAATGACTCGGAAAAAGATTTGTTCATTATGATGAACGAGTTCGAACAGGAGTGCGTTACAGGACAGAGCAAGGCGAGCGTTTGAGCTCATAAAACTTTGTTATTTATTTATTAAATGAGCGATCGTTTCGCTTGATAAGACCCTTATTCATCGTCTGGAGTCGTTTAAAGCCCTTTGAACAGTTTGCACTGAAACTCTCATTTGGACCTTGAACCGTTTGGTCCCCATTGAAGTCCATTATATGGAGAAAATCCTGGAATGTTTTCATCAAAAACCTTCATTTCTTTTCGACTGAGGAAAGAAAGACATGGACATCTTGGATGACACGGGGGCGAGTAAATTATCAGCTAAAGTTTTTTTAAAGTGAACTACCCCTTTAATGTGAGGCTATCTTCTCTTCTGAAGGTGCGTCTGATGAAGGACACGAGGGGAACCCGGTGAAGGTCTGTATCTTAAACTGCAGTTGGTCTTCTGACTCTCTGTGTTCGTCGTATCGCTGGGAGACGTCATGTATGCGGTGTGTGTCTGCAGGGCCCGGGTGTGTGTCGGCCCCGCCGGCGCTGGTCCTGCCGCTCTGGGTCTGTGGAGCTCATGGTGAAGTCCATGCTGGAGTTACGGCAGCTCGATGCTCTTCCTGACGGCGCCGGGCAGAACCGAAGCGGCGCTGGCCACCGGGGAAGCTCCTCCAGCCTGCAGGTGAACCTTCAGAACTCACATTAAAGGGTAACTAAACCCCTGGTCAGAGCCTGACTCCACCCACTGGCAATATTTGAAAATGCTGAAAAAGTGGGCGGACCCCAGCGGAGATAGAGGGGACGAAATAGATGCTAAAACACTCTATCTTGGTCATTTTCAATACTCACAATCCCAATTCCTGACTCCCTACAGTGGTTTTGACGACACAAGATGGTTTTTATACTGCCAAGGGCGTAGCTCGAGTGGTGAGCTGAAACATCCAACTGCAGTAGCCACCGTTCAACCTGAAGAGGGCAGCACTAAGATGCTTTTACACCATATATTGTAGAAACAGAACACTTTATAAACAAATGCCAAAAAAGTTACTCAAATCAATGACTGATATTAATAAAGATCCATTCTTACAGATCATTAACTAAAAAAAGTTGGTTAAGTGTTTAGTTACTCTTTAAAGGGTTAGTTCACCCAAAAATGAAAATTCTGTCAGTATTTACTCACCCTCATGTTGTTCCAACCCCGTAAGACCTTCGTTCATCTTCGCAACACAAATGAAGATATTTAAGATATTAAGATCGCTCCTGCATACAGTCCATAGGCTTCTTGAGGGAATGACTCTTGCTGTCCCCGAAAAGTCATTAAAGACATCGTTAAAATAGTCCAAGTGACTACAGGGGCTCAATCTTAACTTTATCAAACGACGAAAACACTTTTGTGCGCAAAAAAACAACAAAAATAACGACTTTATTTCAACTATTCACTTCCTTCACCATGGGCCTGTAGTCAGTTAACGTAGTGTGATTGCGTAAAGCTACGTCACACGTAGGCTCACTATTGGCCGACGCTGGTCATGTGTGATGATGCGTGTGACGTACAATAACAGAAGCTTACGCTATTAAACTAGTAACCTGACTCGCGCAGAGGGAGAAATAAACCAATAGTTGAAATAAAGTCGTTATTTTTGTTGTTTTTTTGCGCACAAAAGTGTTCTCGTCGTTTGATAAACTTAAGATTGAGCCCCTGTAGTCACTTGGACTATTTTAACGATGTCTTTAATGACTTTTCGAGTCATTCCCTCAAGAAGCCTATGGACTGTATGCAGGAGCGATCTTAATATCTTAAATATCTTCATTTGTGTTGCGAAGATGAACGAAGGTCTTACGGGGTTGAAACAACATGAGGGCGAGTAAATACTGACAGAATTTTCATTTTTGGGTGAACTAACCCTTTAAAGAGGCATATCATGAAAATCTGCCTTTCCCCGTGTGTACGTGAAATAATCGGCACAGAAACCGTGAACAGTGAAGCCCAGTAACTGTGTTCTGGTGAGCCGTTCTCTGAGAGCATGCTATAAATAAACCCATCAGATTTCGCTCCTAGTGACGTATGAAGAGGATCTTATTATAATATTAATGTGCACGTTTACACACACTGCAACTGCGGACACTTGTGGAAGAGTTCAACATGATGATCAGTGTGACTCCACAGCTACAGCAAACACATGAACATCTCGGATGATGTGGAGTAAAGTATCAGGACAGTTTAATGCGGAAATGACCTACTTTTAAAGGTCACAGTTTCTGTTAAATTTTGGGACTAATGAAAGGTCACTGTTTCAGCCCTACAGAACTCTTTCAGGCGTCTTCAGCAGAATATTGTCCATGCGTGAGTCGTTTAGTTCAGACGTCAGTGTTGTGGTTCTGCTCCTCAGGATTGGCGTAACCGGCGTGCGGTTCGTCCTGTCTCGGCGTGGCTGCTTCCCGCCAGCGCTCCGGAGCCGGACGGGGTCGTGTTGTACCCGGATTACTGTCAGATCGAGGCCCAGAGTCCCGTCAGCGGCGCCTCCGTGGGTTACGGCAGCGGCGGATCCAGTCCAGATCACAGACGCCACGGTACAGCACACCACAGGCTTTCACACACACACATCTATGATGATTTACTCCGTCAGCGGAGCGTCAGAGCTTCACCTGTGGTATCAGCTGTCCACAGCACACAGAACACTACAGGAAACACACTCAAACTGTAAACAAACAAGTGTATTTAAGCCTATATATGCAGCCATTAAGTACTATAGCCATATAGTTGCTATTGATATTATTGTTTTTTTGGATAATTTAATACCAAAATAAGACACCAGCTGACAGCAAAGTCACTTCATCTTTAGATTTTAGCTCTAAGAACTTATTGGAATGATATTTTAATGTAGTTAAAAAAAATAAAAAATTAAAACATAAAAATAAGCATAAATTACATAGAAAATATGGTACTTTTTGAAGTATATAAATTCCAAAATACCCCCAAAATTTAAAAAAACACCATAAATGGATAGACAAAACTTTATCGAAGACAGTGATATAACATTTATAATACATAAAAATTAGGATCACACCTGAGTCCTCTGTGCCCACATTTGTCCACAATTACGGGATTGAGGGCTATAAAATGAATACGGTTTGAGGGTTAATGATGAAGACTGTTTCAGTCTGCCCCTCAGTACTCATTTTTAATAATGTGAGAATGGTGCAATATTTATTGATTTCCGTTGGTTGCGAGTGCAGAGACTCTGAGAAACGAACACTTTAAAGTCGCCAAATGCAAGAATGTAAATATAACCGATTAAAGACGAGACGGCACACTCCCCAGCTCAGTGTTGTTCCTCGTTTCCTCAGATGAGCGGCTCGGCTCTGATGACGATCCGGATGAAGCGTCAGACACGCGGAGGCCGGCAGACGGTACTCATTCACTCAGTTTTGCTCCTCTTTTGCTGTTGCTTTGGATAAATGCATGAATGTCAGTCAGCTTTATTTCTGCAGCGCTTTATACAGGACATATAGTTTCAGAGACGCTAAACAGAATGAGTGATGCAAACTTCATCAAATATGAGACTCGTTTATCTGTAAAGCAGCTGTACAGAAGACAGCTGAGGCATTATTCAGTTCAGTTCGGTGAGTTCATCAGTTCAGAAGCTCTACATGTAAGGTCTTATTCGCTCTTCATCTGTTCTCAGGGATCTCGGCCCGTTTCCAGACCTCCGTCTCCTCCGGCAGGTATTGTGTAGATCGGTCTGATGTGCTTGACTGCAGCAGGTGTGTGAGGCCGTAACACAAGCTTCTCCATGTTCAGGACGGGCGGTGTGTTTCTCCATCAGCCGGCGGTGAAGCGGAGCGTCAGACCCCTGATGGAGATCATGGATCGGGATCTGGACCAGCGCTGCGTCTCCCTGAGGAGTGACCCGTACACCAGCAGCACTCCTGCTCGCCTGCACAGATCTGCTTCAGCTCTCCATCCGGCCACTGACGGTCAGCATCAGCACCAGCCCAAACCTCAACATACCAAACACACCAAGAGTGTGTGTATGCCAGGGGTGCCCAATCCTGCTCCTGGCGATCGACTGTCCTGCACAGTTCATCTCAAACCCTAATCAAACACACCTGAAGTAGCCAATTAAGGTCATTAGGATCACATTCAGGTGTGTTTGATTAGGGTTGGAGATGAACTGTGCAGGACAGTCGATCGCCAGGAGCAGGATTGGGCACCCATGGTGTATGCCAATCTTTTCAGCATTCTTCTAGAAGTGCGTTTGTGGTGTAAAACAATTCAATTTCTGCCTATAATCCTGAAGGAATATTATAATATTGTGAATTAAACTGTATTAAGATAAAATGGGGGTGAATGGTGACAAACATGCATGAAGCATAAACAAGCTGTTTTTTCCTTCTTATGAGTTTTATTTAAATATTTATTTTTTCCCAGTTCAAAAGTCCCGTCTCCATCGAGAGGCGCGTCCCAGCCTGTCTAAGCTGAGTTTGGAGAGGATCGATGTCCTCCACTCGCGCTCCTACATGAGCCCCACTACCAGCTCCAGGGCCAAGGTCAGCCGGTGCGTTTCCATCGGCGACGACCTCCACGTGACCCTGCCGTTCCAAAACGCTCCAGCCAAACTAAAACCTCGTGCCTGTCAGCGCCTGAGCAGCCCGTTTGCTGAGTGGCCGAGCAGATCCAGCTCTCCTCGTGCTGACCCGGGGTCATCAGGGGACGTGACCTCTGACCCGCAACAGCGTCCTCAAGCGGCAGTGAAGGCTTTCTCTGTGACGTCTGAGGATCAAGGTTCCTCTTCCTCTAGCATGATTAATTCAATGAAATCCACATTTATTTGTGTAGCGCTTTTCACATTAATTAAATATAATATAATATAATATTAATTACTTTTTAATTTGTTCTAATTCACCCACTTATGTAATTAAAGTCTTGTGGGTGTTATTTTTATTATAATTCACCAGTTGTGATTCATGATTTTGTTTTACAATTTTTGGATGTCCATTTTATTCATGTTTTATTGCCAAACAGGTTAATAATGTGTGTCATGTTAGTGATAATTTAATTACATGTTAAACAATCATTTTATTTGTGATCCGTGATTTAGTTTGCCCTGATTTCTCACACAATAAACTGAAATATGTATTTAAAGTAGATATTTTTTTTATTCATTTACATTGACTTTAATTCACACTCAATATTAGTATTTCTTAGTAAGCTCTGCATGACGTGTTATTGTGTTAATTTAATCATCATTATGCACCGTCTTGAGATCACTAGCGAAGTTTTCATTACTGATAAATCAACACATTTGACAATTTCACTATAACAGATTTTCAGGATCTCGTACTTCACAAATATGACACAGAATGACAGTATAAAAGTAAAGATGGCAGGGCAAAATTCAGATGTGAAATTAAGGTTTAGTTAACATGAAATAACAATGAACATTACTTCTACAGCATTTATTATTATTAAATTTATATCTTAAATTTCAACATTTACTAAAGGTATTTCAAATCAAAAGTTGTATTTGTTAACAGTTAAAAACAATAGTCCTAAACCGAGACCAGACCAGCACTCCTTAAATTCATCCAAAAGATCTACATCTACTGCCTGAGAAATGTCTTATATCTAATCAAACAGTTGGAATAATAATATAGAGCTGCAATTCATTGAAATCACGAACAAGATTAATTTGTGCAGCTAAACCACAATCACACCAGCGTCAATAATGTCCAGATTAATGTTCTACAAACAACATTGTTTATTGAATAAAATCAATATCACAGTTGCAACCGTGCTCATATTGGTGGACACGGCTCTCTTGCGATATTCCTTAATTATATCATGTTATAATATAAAAATCAAGATTTTATACAAGTGCTGTTTTTGCAGTCATATCTTGGATTTTGTGGGCATTCATATTTACTGCGGACACATTTTTGTCAGAATCCCCTGTTCATTTATCGCAAATTAGAAACAAGTTAATGATTTCATTTGAAGCAGGAACTTTTACATCCAATCACAGTAATTGAGCATATTGTGAAGTATTTTTTAGTTATACTCCATTGTTTGGTAAAGAATACTCTTTACAATAAGGTCCTATTGGCAATGCAATAAGTAGCATTATCTAACAGTAAGCAATACATTAGTTACAGTAGCTCGGCTCTATTTCAAGATTAAGCGATACATTTAGTTTTAATGTATTAGTGATTGTTGAAATGATCATTAACTACGATTAACAAATGCGTTAGAAGTATTGTTCATCATGTTAACATACAAAGCCTTATTATATGAAGTTTTCTGCGTTCTGGAGTCGTGTCGTGAGGTTTGGTTTAGTCGAGGGTCCGTCTGTAAGCGGTAGGTTTGACCCTCGGCCATGGTTAGTTCGGTTGCCCGTCTCGCTCACGGGAGCGTGTCCACGTTGACGGACGTGAGCGTGACGTCATGCAGGATGTTGATGCGGTCGATCTGGTTGACCTCTCTGATGCGGTGCTTAAATTCAAAGGTGGGTGTGTTGTTGACGACCACCTTGAACTCCGTGAAGGTGCAGAGGATCTTCATCTACAGAGAGACGTGAAGGTTACAGCAGTGACACTCGCGTCTTCATGTCAATCGCACACACTCCTACAGAACCACACTAGATCACTTTCTGGACGCTCCTGGGGCTTTAATCCCACCAATAAACGGGAGGCGTTTCAACAGCTTGTTTTTAGGCAGAGGGTCTTGGAGTTCGAACCCCAGCGTATCGTTTACCTCAAAGTGATGTCCCGGCATGAAGGGGAACGGCCCCAGAAGCTCCCGCTCCTCTTTGCCCCAGCGCTCCCCCAGTTTGTGATTGCGGACCACAATGGCTTTTCCTCCTTCGTTGAATCGAGGGTTGATGTGAAGGGCGATGTCGTTACCGCGCAGGAAGTTGATGGTGAACCTTGACCCAGAACAAGAAATGTTAGTAGCAGCTTTTGTATCGACAGAAAAAAAAAAAAACTGTGTTCATGTTTTGCTCCAAAGCAAGTTATCATTTAAAGTTCTGACATTTAAAAATGTAAAAATCCCCCATTCTACTGAAATGAGCATTATCACAAAATTTTATTTGTAATGTTTTATACAACCGACATTCCTCTTTGCAAATGTTTGCGAAGGTTGATTTAATAAAAAATTGTGGATAATAACCTGAGGAAGATTGCTTGTCCTCAGGCGTTTATTTGTAATGTTTCATTCAATCATCCTTCCTCAGATTTGTATTCGCAATGTTTTGTTCAATCGACCAGTAGCACCTCATAGCAGTACACAAGATCCAGGGGGCGGAGTCGGATCTAGATCTGAGGGGTGGAGCTGGGTAGGTTTAGGGGTGGGGTTAGGGATCAGGGGGTGGAGCTGGGTAGGTTTAGGGGTGGGGTTAGGGATCAGGGGGTGGAGATGGGTAGGTTTAGGGGTGGGGTTAGGGATCAGGGGGTGGGGCTGGGTAGGTTTAGGGGTGGGGTTAGGGATCAGGGGGTGGAGCTGAGTAGGTTTAGGGGTGGGGTTAGGGATCAGGGGGTGGGGCTGGGTAGGTTTAGGGGTGGGGTTAGGGATCGGGGTGGAGCTGGGTAGGTTTAGGGTGGGGTTAGGGATCAGGGGGTGGAGCTGGGTAGGTTTAGGGGTGGGGTTAGGGATCAGGGGGTGGAGCTGGGTAGGTTTAGGGGTGGGGTTAGGGATCAGGGGGTGGAGCTGGGTAGGTTTAGGGGTGGGGTTAGGGATCAGGGGGTGGAGCTGGGTAGGTTTAGGGGTGGGGTTAGGGATCAGGGGGTGGAGCTGGGTAGGTTTAGGGGTGGGGTTAGGGATCAGGGGGTAGAGCTGGGTAGGTTTAGGGGTGGGTTAGGGATCAGGGGGTGGAGCTGGGTAGGTTTAGGGGTGGGGTTAGGGATCAGGGGGTGGAGCTGGGTAGGTTTAGGGGTGGGGTTAGGGATCAGGGGGTAGAGCTGGGTAGGTTTAGGGGTGGGGTTAGGGATCAGGGGGTGGGGCTGGGTAGGTTTAGGGGTGGGGTTAGGGATCAGGGGGTGGAGCTGAGTAGGTTTAGGTATATGTAAAGTGGGAGGGGTTGGATCTGGATCAAACTCCTCCCCATGGATTTCGTGTTCTGCAGCGAGGACCATCTCCAATTGACCCTCCTCAGGTTTTTATTAAGCGTGGTTACAATGGGTACATAATGGTAATAATCTCTTTAGTGCTCACTTACATTTTAGCATCTGGTTTAATCTGTCCTCTGATAGTTAGCATTAGCTTGTCATAGATGCCACGGGGGAAATTCATGTTGAAAGGAACCATCTGAAAGGAGAGAAAACATTGATTTTTATTAGACATTGATTGTTTTCCTAACATTTCGGTCAATTGACATTCAGGTTTTATTTGCTAAGGTTGATTGAACAAAACGTCCTCAGGGTTTTTCTCCTTCTTGAGCAGATGATGAACCCATCTAAAAGTTTAAATTTCTACATGATCTACACAATCCTGCGGGTATAAAGATGATCAAACCGAGCTGCGCTTCTCAACTGGATTTGATTCAGGAATCAAGCGACAAAACAGAGTTTCAGTGAGACTCGTGTTTGGTAACACTACAGTCAGATAGATGAAACATGGACGGGTGTGTCAACTACCAACCGCCTAGTTCGACTCGACACATGACCTTTGACCTACAGATAACCCTATGTTTCGACCAATGTTTCGTTCAATCAACCTTCAGGTTTTTATTCGCAATATTTCTGTCAATCAATCTTAAGATTTTTATTCATTGTGTTTTGATGTTTTGTTCATTTAATCAAAAATTTCCTTCCTCAGGTTAACTGAACACATGAAGCGACTGGACACATGACCTTTGGCCTACAGATAAGCTTGCTATTTTGCCCTCTTTATTTTCCCTATTTTGGTTTTGTTCTGTCCACGACTCATCATGAGCTGGTTTAGTGTCTTACTACAGGAGCGGTCGCTGGCGCCGGGGGCCACGGCTGGGGGACTCCTCCCGCGGGTATCTGACCGGGCCAACCGGGCTGACCAGGGTTACCGTGCCATGCTGGGGAGACTGGAGACGGGACGGGTACCTGAGCAGGCCAGGTTGGTTGGACCGGTGGGTTCGGCTGAACTGGAGGGTTGGGTTGGATTGGTGGGTTTGGCTGCGCTGGTTGGATTGGCGGATTGGGTTGCGCTGGTTGGATGGGTGGGCTGGGTTGAGCTGGCTGTACTGTTGGTGGGTTTGGCCAGCCTGGTTGGATTGGTTGATTGGGTTGAATGGTTGCAGGGTTTGGCCAGCCTGGTTGATTGGGTTGAATAGTTGGAGGGTTTGGCCAGCCGGGTTGATTGGGTTGATTGGGTTGAATGGTTGCAGGGTTTGGCCAGCCTGGTTGGGTGGGTTGGACCGGCCAGGTCGTAGGGGTCGATGCGCTGGGCTGGTTAACTGGCCAACTCGCCTGATTGGGTTGGCAGGACCAGCAGGGTTGGCAGGGTTGACCGGGCCATACGGTACCAGCCGACTGCTGAGGGTTCTGAGGGTAAAGGCCCTGCTGACCAGAGGACGGGCAACTCATGATGTCTGAGGATCAAACAATCACAAACGTCAAACACGTGCTCCTCGACTCCTCAGAAATCATTCTAATGTGCTGAATCATAAGAAACATTATGATTATTATCTGTTGAAAACAGTTCTGCTGCTTTGATTTTTGTGGAAACCGTCATAAACTACAGTTTGGTGTCAATAAAGACAAAAAAAATAAAGAGATTTACACTTTTATTGATCAAGGATGCATTCAATTGTTTAAATGTGACCGTAAAGACTTTTATATAAGTTACAAAAGATTATATTTCAAATAAAAGCAGTTCTTAAACTTTCTATTCATCAAAGAATCCTGAAAAATAAAATGTATTAGTTTCCACAAAAATATTAAACTGTGTTCAACACTGATAATAATCATAAGTGTGTCTTGATCATCAGATCCTCATATTAGAGTGATTTGTGAAGGGTCATGTGACACTGAAGACTGGAGTAATGATGCTGAAAATCACAGGAATAAATTACACTTTACTGTATATTCACATAGAGAACAGATGATTTATATCAGAATAATATTTCACTGTTTTACTGTAATTTTGTCAAATAAACACAGCTTTCTGAGCAGAAGAGACTCTTTAAAAAACATTTAAAAAAAAACTTTTGACCACCAGTGTATTTATTCTTCTTGCTTTTACACAGAAGATCATCATTCGAAACTACTTGATCTGTGAATCATAAATCAATAATTAAGACCTGAAGGTCAAACATTGATGTTTAACAGCAGAACCTGAGCTGATCAGATCTTTATTATTACTGTAAATCTGAGACGTCACAAAAACAAGATCAAATCTAAAGCTTCAAAACTCTCGACCACTGTTGGTGATTACTAAAGTGTGTTGAAGAAAATCTACAGCAGAAGATCGACTGTACCTGTTGAAGAAGAGGAGATCTAGTGAAGAAGAGGAGATCTACTGTGAAGAAGAGGAGATCTACTGTGTTGAAGAAGAGGAGATCTACTGTGAAGAAGAGGAGATCTACAGTGAAGAAGAGGAGATCTACTGTGAAGAAGAGGAGACCGACGCAGGGACAGAAGACTCTGAGAATCGGAGGTTTATATGGAGACGCTCCTCATTCCTGCGCATTATGAGGAAACAGCCCGTCTGTTCATGACACACACACACACACACACACACACACACACTATATGCACTTATGTTATGCGTGCATCTACTGTTGATTGACTGAGACTGCATTTCTGAAACTAACACATGCTGTTAAAGATCTAATCTGCAGGAATGGAGGCTTCGGCTGTGTTTGAGCACTGAGATCTGAGCATCGGATGCGTCTCCATACGGACAGGATTATTAGATGCACTCGCAGTCAATATTCCAGCGGTTGCCTGAGTGACGGAAGACTCATGACCGAACACAGACTCGCTCTGTCCACACACACACACACACACACACACGTGTGTTGCAGAACAGCTGAGGTGTGCATCTCGGTCACGGGTCCGTCTGAACACTGACTCTATTGTCTTCGGTGGAGCCGGTCTCATGATTCTAATGGGAAGATCAGCTCATATTGTGCTTTTACGGGATTTATGGACTGGGAAACCACATACTGTGACTGGAAATCTCTCAAATAAAGCTTCACAGGCGTAGATGAACCACTGACGGTGCTGTGGATTATTTAAGCATTCTTCTGTCCCATCCTGCTGAATATTTATAACCAACAGAAGTCGCATTAAAACTCATGATTTTATATGGGATTTATTTGTTTTAATAATCCAAAACACAAATGCAATTTTAAACTATGTAAATCTGGAAGAAATTATGAATTAGGCTATTACACAATTAAAGGCAATAAAAAATAATACATTTAACATGTACACCCACAATAAATTTAGAAATTGAGGCGTCATTCGTATCATAAAATACATAAACCAGAAACGAGGTGATGGCGCTTTTGCACCTGCGGGCCCTAAACTTCGGAACAGTCTCTCCACATTAGATTAGCCCCGTCTGTCATATTTATTTTCTTTGGCCTTTAATACTGCTTAATTTTGGTAATTATTGTTTATCTATTGTTGTTGTGTTCATTTTATTGTGTTTTTAGGGGTTCAAGCACGAATGCTGAAACAAAAACAAAAGACCATTAACAAAAAAATGGTTTGCTTCAGTGCAGAATACTGGTGAAACAAAATGAAAGTGAGCCAATAATTGGTCTTTTGCTGCCCTCTGCTGGCCACTCTTCTTCTTAATAGTCTTTTCACGTGTGCTTTTGCATTCATATGTATATAGACAATATAAAATGACTTATGTAACAATTACTATTATAACACATTCATATTTTGTCAGAGTGTATCAGTTTATTTGTACTGACATTTCACATCAATGCTAAATGTGGTAAATCAGGGTAAACTGTGGTAGGACATGGTTTTTCACAATAACATAACCCAAATGTGTGTGTGTTTGTGTGTGTGTGTGTGTGTGTGTGTAAGCATGCATTATACACCATCCTATTGCATAGTAAATCGTGGTAAACTGTAGTAAATCATATTGAAACATGGTACATCAATGGACACCATGGTAAATCATGAAAAAATCACCCTGAAATGTGGAAACATGGTCTATTTCATCTATGATCTCAGTGGTTAAATGCTTGCTACATAAGACAGTGTCTTTTGATGCTTTGGTGCTTAAAGGCCTTAACTGCTTGAACCCTGATAAATTCTGCTTGCAGCTTTAATTTTTTATTATTATTATTATCATTACTTAAGAGTTTATTCTATCCTGTACGGCACTTTGTTCAGCCTGAGTTGTTTTTAAATCTGCCTAAATCTGTAAATAAATATTGTATTGTTCACGATCTCAGATCAGTTCCAGATAGAAAACGAAACACAAATTGATAACAAAAGACTGAATCCAGTATGTGGTTATTATGTGAGCTATTTTTGACCAGGAACACCACAAGTGTACCATAACGCTGAAGGGAATCATCAGTGTGTCAATGTTTATAATCCCAGAATCTCAATCATGCGGAAGTGTGACGTCATCATCCCATATACTCTACGAAGCGGATCCACATGTGTGACGATCGGAAGTGTTGAGGATTATTTCATCGATATCATCATCATCAGTTCGTAGACATCAGGACCGCTACTATGGCGAAGTGGACTTCATGAATATTAATCAACCAATGCAGCGTTCCGGCCAATGGCGAGGGCTCTGAATATTAATTAGGCTAGGCTGATGCTGCTTAGTAATCCTCCAATGGCGAAGGCATGGCTATATGCTAATGCTATAAACATTTTGAAATGATCAAAGTTTTGGCGATAGCTTCTTTTATATGTCTTCCTCAGGATGCTTTTATATCTTGCTGTTTTTTTTTATTTCCATGTAGTTTCGAGGTAATATTAGAATTTTGAAGTTTGTTTAAAAAAACTTTGCTCTAAGTTTGTTCAATATTTTTCCTGTTGAGAGATTAGGGAAAAAAAAACGTATGAATGTTATACATTTTCAAAAAAAACAAACAAAAACGTAGTGTAATTTTACAAACTGAAAGGTTAAACGAGTTAAACGAGTAAAAATGAATGTAATAGCGATGGTTTCTTTATTATTATTAATTAGACAATGCTGACGTTGCGTTACGTCCTCCAATCGCCGCGTCTTGTATTGAATGCTAAATCATTGGCGCTGACGTCACGCTGCTGCCGTCCAATAAGCGAGCGTTAGGCTCATGAATATTCAGATAGACCAATCGTCAAAGCCTTCGTCATAGTAGCATTAGTGAATCGGCGGCTGTCAGGTGCCGTGATTTCCCAGCAGCCCCGGATGTAGCGCGCGCAGTCTCAGCAGCATCAATCCCGGAGAATAACATGGCACGGACAACCACATAACATCATAATTCCCGACATAACATTCCCACAGGAGTGGAGCACAGCCGCGCCAGGACATGTGAGGCTCTTCCAGCGACAGAAGGTGAGCAAGCGGCATTTCAGCCTTTCCTAGCAACAAGCAGGCGCGTGATTGGATGCGATTCGCTGCTAATGCATAAGATCAGTCTCGTGCACGAGCTTCAGCACCGAGGACAGCGGCCCGCGCATGCATGATTGCGTGTGTGTGTGTGTGTGTGTGTGTGTGAGAATGCAGATGCTTGTCATGTAGTTGTTGCAGGAGTGATAGAGTGTCATTAATAACGGCCTCGTCTCGGAGTGCTCGACTGTAGCCGCCGCTGTGATCTACGGAAGCCCGTCTCCAGCACATCAAACACTGGAAACCATGATGATGATGATGATGATGATGATGATGATGATGATGATGATGATGATTGTGCTGTAATTATGATTTACCAAAGCACACTGTTCTTCTCTCTGTGCTGTGGAGATGCTGTCGGTGTTATGATGATGTCTGTCAGCAGTGTGTGATGATGAGCAGTGTGTGATGATGAGCAGTGTGTGATGATGTCTGTCAGCAGTGTGTGATGATGAGCAGTGTGTGTGATGAGCAGTGTGTGATGATGTCTGTCAGCAGTGTGTGATGATGAGCAGTGTGTGATGATGAGCAGTGTGTGATGATGTCTGTCAGCAGTGTGTGATGATGAGCAGTGTGTGTGATGAGCAGTGTGTGATGATGTCTGTCAGCAGTGTGTGATGATGATGTCAGCAGTGTGTGTGATGATGTCAACAGTGTGTGTGATGAGCAGTGTGTGTGATGATGTCAACAGTGTGTGTGATGAGCAGTGTGTGTGATGATGTCAACAGTGTGTGATGATGAGCAGTGTGTGTGATGTCAGCAGTGTGTGTGATGATGTCAGCAGTGTGTGATGATGTCAACAGTGTGTGTGATGAGCAGTGTGTGTGATGATGTCAACAGTGTGTGTGATGAGCAGTGTGTGTGATGATGTCAACAGTGTGTGATGATGAGCAGTGTGTGTTGATGTCAGCAGTGTGTGTGATGATGAGCAGTGTGTGATGATGTCAGCAGTGTGTGTGATGATGAGCAGTGTGTGATGATGTCAGCAGTGTGTGTGATGATGTCAGCAGTGTGTGTGATGATGTCAGCAGTGTGTGTGATGATGTCAGCAGTGTGTGTGATGAGCAGTGTGTGTGATGATGTCAGCAGTGTGTGATGATGTCAACAGTGTGTGTGATGATGTCAACAGTGTGTGTGATGATGAGCAGTGTGTGATGATGAGCAGTGTGTGTGATGATGTCAGCAGTGTGTGTGTGATGTCAGCAGTGTGTGTGTGATGTCAGCAGTGTGTGTGATGATGTCAGCAGTGTGTGTGATGATGTCAACAGTGTGTGTGAGTGTGATATCAGCAGTGTGTGTGTGATGTCAGCAGTGTGTGTGATGATGAGCAGTGTGTGTGATGTCAGCAGTGTGTGATGATGTCAGCACTAGCAGTGTGTGTGTTGATGTCAGCAGTGTGTGTGATGATGAGCAGTGTGTGATGATGTCAGCAGTGTGTGATGATGTCAGCACTAGCAGTGTGTGTGTTGATGTCAGCAGTGTGTGATGATGTCAGCACTAGCAGTGTGTGTGTTGATGTCAGCAGTGTGTGTGTTGATGTCAGCAGTGTGTGTGAGTGTGATATCAGCAGTGTGTGTGATGATGAGCAGTGTGTGATGATGTCAGCAGTGTGTGTGTGATGTCAGCAGTGTGTGTGTGTGTGTGATGTCATTACTCGCTGTACAGGATCTGCTTGACCCGAGGAGCTCCTCGACGAGGTTTTGTTGATGCTGAGTGTGTGTGTGTGTGTGTGTGTGTGTGTGTGTGTGTGATCTGTCAAACACCGGATCTGATTATATGAAACCTGTAATGAAACCACACACACACACACACACACACACTGAGTAATCAGCTCTGTCAGACTGAACACTTCTATGATTTGATTCATCTGAACTCATTACAGAAAGTTGATTCAGCTCAGTTTAGTTGAGGCTCATCTCTATAATGTCACTTTCATAATACTTATTATTTCGAAGAGGCGTTATGGAAATGCTTGTTCAGTATTCTGTTGTCAGCCAGAGGCGAGTGTGTCCGATATACAGTTAGTATAGTAATATCGTAGATGTTATGTTTAGTTATCGTCATGTATTCAGTTAAACAAAACATGTTCGTATCTACAGCTTCCTAATGATTACAATATAAAGATCCTATTTGCAGGAGCTGTGATGGATCAGACTCAAAACTGTTATTATAACTCATAAACACAGAAGAGGAGGTGTACGATCCCATCATGATTCTGAACACTCAACTAAACCAAAATAACATATACTTTATTAGAGGTTCTGACTGAACGTTAATTGCCACAGTCTTTTAAAATGGTTTTAGTGAATGATTCAATGACTCACTTGATGACAGACTTCACTTGTTGCATTACTGGATGATTCAGTGTTTTTGAACGAATCTCTGGAGTGAATGATTCAATGACGACTCATGTTTAACAGTCTCTTGTCTCCACCTACTGGTGTAATGATGTCATGATCCAATCTTTATTAGAAAATCTTGAGCCTTTGAGCCCAGTTCTTCTGTGATAATCTGAATGATTGTACAGCAGGTTAGGGTTAGGGTCAGGGTCAGGGGTGAGTTAGGGTCAGGGTCAGGGTCAGGGTTAGGGTTAGGGGTGAGATCCGGTGGGTGTTTGAATCGGGACGCGCTGTACTTTATTGAGGAGCGGTGTCTGTCAGACTCCGAGAGGAGGAAGCGCTGGATGGCCAGAGCACCAGCATAGGTGTGTGTGTGTGTGTGTGTGTGTGTGTGTGTGTGTGTAGGAAGAGTAGTTCATTCCCAGTGGAAGCACAAGCGTAAAGTCGCGGGACAAGTGTGTGTGTTCACGCCAGAGAGGTTCAGCTCTTCAGATGCTGTTGTGTTTTGCATCCTGGTGGTTTAAAAACGTTTGTAATGTTTCCGCTCAGGAAGCAGGAACGCCATTATTTATATATAATATTCATGCATTATTCATCATGTCCGCTGATGTGTTCCACCCGCCCGTTTTCTCACGGCATCATGCGATATTAATCTGCAACGTCATGAGAGTGGTTTCTCACTGAAGAGTCCTGTGGGCACATGAGATCCACGGGGAGGAGTCGGATCAAGATCCAAGGGGTGGAGATGGTAGGATTAGGGGTGGGTTTAGGGATCAGGAGGCAGAGTTTGATAGGTTTAGGTGTATGTAATGTGGGAGGAGTTGGATCTGGATCCGACTCCTCCCCGTGGATTTCATGGTCCGCATGGAGAACCATCTCCCTGAGGGTCCCAGCAGGGGGCGGGGCCTCTAATCCACATTGGAAGAAGGCGGGGTCTCTAATCCTCATCGGAAGGGGGCGTGGCCTCTAATCCACATTGGAAGGGGTGTGGCCTCTTACCACATTGTAAGGGGGTGTGGCCTCGAATCCACAATGGAAGGGGGCGGGGCCTCACATCCACATCAGAAGGGGGCGGGGCCTCTAATCCACATCTGAACACTTTAGCCAATCAAAGCAAAACTCACTTACATACAAACACCCCTCAACTGGTAACACTTGACAAGATGTTTCATTTGTTAATGAAAGCTAAATACTGTAATAAATGTATCGCTCATTGTCAAACTCTGAATCACACACACACACACACACACACACAACATGAAAGCACATGACTTGTGTTGTGAATGATGTCCGAGAGAGTTCAGAAGAGAAAGCCTTCTTCATGTTGTAATGCTGTGACCTCCACATGACCTTCACACAGGAGCTGTAATAGAGACGACTGTCGTCTCGCGGCTCAGTTTACCCCAGTTCAGTGAGATGTCAATCTCTTCTGTCTCTTCCTGAAATCCTCATTATTTCCCAGAATTCAGTGTTTTCTGCACTCTGGCTCTGATGGGCTCAATGTGGACTATTACTGTCCTGGTAGCACTTTCATCATAAATCTCCATAAATTAGGCATCATTTGAAGATCATACACTCATAATTCATCCTGTGAAAACCATTTTGAAATTGGACAGTATGTTACCGTGGAAACCGTTACATTCTCTTACCTCTTTAAGTGACTATTTTTTTGTGAAATGAACTTTGGCTTTCTAGCAATTTTTTAGTCCAAATTATTTTGTAAAATACACATTTTGGTTTAAATAAAACATATTTTTTGAAGTGCTTCTGCAATAATCTGCGGAATGTCTTCTTTAAAAAGAGACCGACATTAGTTTTGTGTTCCAAAGCATTCATGAATTACAACCATTACTTTGAATAGTGCATTTTTTCTCAGTGAGTGAGTGAGCGAGCGAGCGGGTGAGTGAATGAGTGAGAGTGTGAGTGAGTGAGTGAGTGAGTGAGTGAGTGAGAGTGTTACTGTGAGTGTGTGAGAGAGTGAGTGTGACACTGTGAGTTTGTGTTTGATGTGTGTGTGTGTGTGTGTGCAGTATGTAGGCCAAACACTGTGAGCGGAACGAGTGTTGACACTTCGGGCGAGTGACAGATGGTTATTTGCAATTAAATGTGGTAAAAATAGCAGAATTCTCCCCAGAAGAAGAGCTGACGTTACTGAGAGTGACTACAGCTGATGATGATGATGATGATGATGATGATGAAAGGACGACACAGGGAACAGATGTGAGAGGCAGGAAATGATCTCATTCACCTGATCAGGTTAGTGAGGTCATGTGACGCTGAGGCTGATGGGAAGTGCTGTTGTGTGATTATTTACACATGACCTGCCAGAATCAATGACACACGTTATCTTCTGCTTAACTAATATCAGTCTCCGCTGTTCTCATGTCTAATGCTGGTCCTGCTCAGGGCATTCACACACCTTTCATAATTTGACACGATTTTGATCTTTATTTATAGAGAGAGTTTCACAGCAGCGTTACAGTGCTAACAGGAGATTACAGTAACAGAGAGTGTTTACAGCAGATCTAGAATACAGTTATTTAATTCACCTGAACCCGTGAGAACGCTATTAAGAGTTCATAATCGCCACATATGATCACCAGAGCTTCTCAGTGACTTTAGTCCAGTCTGAATGTGCATCTCAGAGATCATCATCACACATGATGTCAGTAAAGATTACAGAGACTCTCACCCTCTGTGGAAAGGTCCGGAATAAAGACTCGGGTAACGCTAACCGGATCCACCCGCTGTAAACATGCCTTCCTGTTCAACTGCAGTATGGAGGCGCTGAAGCATCAACTGCGTTCTAGAGTTAGTGTGTGTGTGTGTGAGAGAGAGTGTGATGGGTAGGGTTAGTGTGTGTGTGTGTGTGTGTGAGCTAGTGGAAGTGTCTGAATCCGGCCGTTGTGTGTCTCATTGAGAGCAATCTGAGCGCGTGTGGATGAAGCATTCATGTGGAACGTGATTGGCTCGAGTTCTGCTGCCGGTGGAACGTGATTGGCTGGAGTTCTGATGCCGGTGGAACGTGATTTGCTCGAGTTCTGCTGCCGGTGGAACGTGATTGGCTCGAGTTCTGCTGCCGGTGGAACGTGATTGGCTGGAGTTCTGCTGCTGGTGGAACGTGATTGGCTGGAGTTCTGATGCCGGTGGAACGTGATTGGCTCGAGTTCTGCTGCTGGTGGAACGTGATTGGCTCGAGTTCTGCTGCTGGTGGAACGTGATTGGCTGGAGTTCTGATGCCGGTGGAACGTGATTGGCTCGAGTTCTGCTGCTGGTGGAACGTGATTGGCTGGAGTTCTGATGCCGGTGGAACGTGATTGGCTCGAGTTCTGCTGCTGGTGGAACGTGATTGGCTGGAGTTCTGCGTTAATCAGCAGTTCAGGAGTTCTGGCCAACATGTGTCCGGCCGGTTCTGCTCCAGTATGGATCTGATTCCAGGTACGTGTCTTCCAGATGTCCCGTCAGCAGAGCGGTGTTCGCTGTAGTGATGGATGTGTCATGTGATCATAGATGAGATTAATACATGTGATCGGCTAAACTGAATGGGTTCTGTTCATAATGATTATATCTGAATGATCCCGCAGTTAAACTTTCTGGAAACAAGAGCTCTGATTGGTTCAGCAATTGTCTCTTTACTAGCAGTGCGTTTTTATACCAGTTAAAGGGGTCATTACATGGATTTTTTTAAAATTATTTTATTAATTCCTTGTGATTTACTTCTCATTTTAATGTAAATGTTTACAAAATAGATATACACTCACCTAAAGGATTATGAGGAACACACACTAATACTGTGTTTGAGCCCCTTTCGTCTTAATTCTCCGTGGCGTTGATTCATCAAGGTGCTGAAAGCGTTCTTTAGAAATGTCGGCCCATATTGATAGGATCGCATCTTGCAGTTGATGGAGATTTGTGGGATGAAGCTCCCGTTCCTCCACATCCCAAAGATGCTCTATTGGGTTGAGATCTGGTGACTGTGGCGGCCATTTTACTACAGTCAACTCATCGTCATGTTCAAGAAACCAGTTTGAGATGATTCCAGCTGTGTGACATGGAGCAGTACAGTACAGCAATACAGTTTTACCTTGATCATTCATGTTCGTTCATATAGTACATTAACTAAGGTAATAACAGATCAAATGCAAATTATAAAAACACAAAATAAATACCAAAATAAAACTCAATTTATAATGTATTAGTAATTATTGAAATGAACAAGCTATCAATGAATAATACTTCTAGAACATTTATGAACCTTAGTTAATGCTAAAAATGTAATCTTATTGTAAAGTGTTACCATTTCATGTTTAAAGATCTGCAAAGGCCAGAGCATTACAATTACACAAATGTAGACCTATATTACATGTGTAATCTCTCGCTTTATTTGCTTCTAAATAACTCTTAACTTTCTGTGTCGTGTGAGCGGCCGCTAAGTTAATCACTAATAATCTTTACGACGGAAGTGAATCAATCGGAACTAACTTTATCTGGACGATAACTTTACTCTAGATCTGCTGTAAAGATCACCGAAACTCTCTCTGTGACTGTAATCTCCTGTTATCACTGTAACGCTGCTGTGAGACGGTACAGATGAAGGGAACGGGCAGTGTGTGCTCTCAGACGTGTGTGTTCTGCTTCTCAGACGTGTGTGTTGTGGTCTGTGGCGTGTGGGGAATGCAGCCGTATCTCTGTCGCGGTTGTGAATGTTTGCTGAAAATAGTGCCGGGCGTGTCCAGTGTTCCGGATCTGGATCAGGGTTTGTGCGGGAGCGTGCGGTGACAGATGGTGTGGGGACAGACTGGTGCCGATGCTCACGCCGGACACTGGCTCATTGTGTGTGTATCGACACATCAGCTGAACACACACACACACACACGCAAGGAAGAGCTCCTCTAAAACACACTCTTCAGATCTTCAGCTTGGGTCAGTCTCACTGAAGAGTCAAACACTGTAGCGCTTTCAACTTCTGAATCCACCAATCACGTGAGTTTGGGGCGGGGCTTTGGGTTCGACTGACCAATTGCAGGTGTCACTGGAAGGGGTGTTTAGAAACCCATGCTTAGGTTTTATATATATACACAAAGTGTGTGTGTGTGTGAGAGAGTGAACTGATGTTATTTTGAGCGGCATGTGAAGAATCTGCTGCATCAGTGTGTGTGTGTGTGTGAGTGTGTGTGTGTGTGTGTGTGTGAGTGTGTGTGTGAGTGTGTGTGTAATAAACAGGAAAATATCAGAATCAATGATGACATTGATGATCTCTACAGAAGACAACATTCAGTGTGTCAACTCTCTCTCTCTCTCTCTCTCTCTCTCTCTCTCTCCCTCTCTCTCTCTCCCTCTCTCTCTCTCTCTCTCTCTCCCTCTCTCTCTCTCTCTCTCTCTCTCTCTCTCTTCTCTCTCTCCCTCTCTCTCTCCCTCTCTCTCTCTCCCTCTCTCTCTCTCTCTCTCTTTCTCCCCCTCTCTCTCTCTCTCTCTCTCTCTCTCTCTCTCTCAGGTAATTCCAGCTTTTCCAGCATGTTTGGAAAGAAGAAGAAGCGTCTGGAGATCTCGGCGCCGTCTAACTTCGAGCACCGGGTCCACACGGGCTTCGACCCGCAGGAGCAGAGGTTCACGGGCCTGCCGTCGCAGTGGCAGAGTCTGCTAGCGGACACAGCCAACCGGCCCAGACCCGTGGTGGACCCGTCCTACATCACCCCCATACAGCTCGCCCCCATGAAGGTGCGCACGCTCGCTCGCATCACTTCCTGCTCACGCTCGCATCACTTCCTGCTCCTGTGTGCCTCTCGCGTCGGCAGCTCTCGTGCTTCGGTCAGTAGAGTTAATGAGCTCTGGTCACATGACATAGAAACGATGAAGCGTCACACGACGTGGCATAGGCGTAACATAATACACATTCAATTTAAATAAACATGTGCTTAAATATAAATAAATGCAAATGTGATTAAAATAAAATAATAAATGTTAGATTTAAATAGAATTGTGATTAAATACATAGTTTTGGTTAAAATAAATAAATAAAAATGTGAATAAATAAATACACATTAATTTAAATAAATAAATAAAAATGGTTTAAAAAAGAAATAAACATTACATTTAAATAAATAAAAATTAGATTCAAATATATAAATAAATTAAATGCAATTAAAATTAAGTAAAATGTTATTAAAATATATAAATAAATAAAATGTGAACAAATAAGTAAACATTAGATTTAAATAAATATTTAATGGTATTAAGTAAATAAATAAAAATGTTATTAAAATGAATAAATAAATAAATAGAATGTGATTAAAATAAATAAGAAAAACAAATAAATAAAAATGTGATTAAAACAAATTAATAAACATTCGATTTCAATGAAGAAATAAAAATTCTTTGAAATAAATTAAAACAAAAATGCAATAAAAATTGTACAGTATTAAAATAAAAAAATAAATAAAATGTGATTAAATAAATTAACAAATAAATAAAAATGTGATTAAAATAGAAATAAACATTAGATTTAAATAAATAAATAAATAAATAAATACAAATGCTGGGAAATATTTTCCAAGTAATAAATTGAAATATTTATCATATAAAAGTTTTTGCACACTCAACAGCCGGAGCACCAGACCTGCTGACAGCGTGTGTGTCTGTGTGTGTGTGTGTGTGTGTGTGTGGGGGGGGGGTTAAAGTGCCAGTGTCGCCTCTCTCCTGTCCTGTGTGTTCCTCGTCTCCTGTGTGTGTGTGTGTGTGTCCACCGGTGTCACTGCAAGTGTTAGTTTACATCACGTTATCCAGATAAACATATAAACCCAACATTTACGTTATCCAGATAGAGATTATCATATGCATTATATACATTATCAGTTCAGCGAGTGTTTCTGGAGCGACACCAAGAGTCAATAATCAATAATCAAGCTGAAAGACCAAGCCTTATGAAATACAGTTGACTTTTTCATAAAGTTTCTATATTTCATTTCCCCCCATTTAAATTGTTCTGGATCCTGTTTTAATTGTTAGTTTAAATGAAATTTTAAAATGAATATACAATTTAACAATAATAATAAAAAAACACCCAACATAGCCCAAACTTTCTTTATTTCTTTTCCCAAATTCCGTTTTATTTTCCCCCAATTTCTAGTTTTTCCGTTCAAAATGTTCAGTATTGGGTTTTAACATGAAATGTGTGTAATGAACAGCACGTGTGTCCGGTAGCGGATCAGGGTCATAGAGTCAGGCTGGGTGTGTGTGGCGCCGTGAGACGAGGCTCGGCACTGGCACCTTCAGGAGATCTGCTGTACTGCAGGAGATATCTCTGAAGAGCGATACACAGATATTAATGCTCTTGCTCTCTTCACAGATATCTCCCAAGAAAGTCCGGTTGGCTGAGTCGCCGTTGCGAAAAGTATGCCCTCTTTCCTTGCTTCTTAGTCCTCTCTCGTTTGTTTTCACTCCTTCCCCTGTTTTGGTCTCATCTCCTCCTCTGATTGGACGCATGCATCTCTGGCCACCAGTGTGTGGTGTAGTCGAGGGCCGAGATGCATGAGCCCACAGAACACACACTAACGACGGCATGTTGATCGCAGGACGGAGAGACGAGCGCGGAGCTGATCCGATTCATAACCCGTTTATGAATGCTGCGTTCTGTCATATGAACTGGATCATTAGAGTTCATGAGTAGTCCATCTGTTGGCATGAATCATAACGTCTTGTGCTGAGCTTTTATCGTGCATGTGTCGATATGACCAACCAGATGATGAAGATCTGACCTCATTCATGCAATCAAAATATACTCGAATGCTCCTCAAATACAGTTGATGATGTACTTCAGGCAAAAATAAATGGAAAATTCTCCCAAATAATGGATTTATAAAAAAGTGTAAGACAATAGAAACCCATTTCGAAGTACAGACACTACAGGCAAAAAGAAAAAAAGTCATTTATTTTTATATTTTGGGATATTTGTTGTTGTTTTTTTTTTAATAATGAGCTTTTGCAGACGAGTGCAAAGAAAACATCTGAAAACTTTTAAACACTGTTTTATTTTCTCGCACTTTATCTATTTACATCAGATTTCCATTGCACGACATATCTTTAAAAGTGCACGTCAGCAGCTCACACACACACACACGCACACACACACACACACACACACACACACACACACACACACACACACACTAAACTAACTTTATCTGGACAGTAACTGTATTGTAGATCTGCTGTAAACTCTATAGTGTTAAAGCGCTGTATAGATGAAGATGACTGTGTGTGTGTGTGTGTGTGTGTGTGTGTGTGTGTGAGTGTGTGTGTGTGGTGTGTGTGTGTGTGTGTGGTTGATCATCTCAGTGTCAGGTCGACTGGTTTACTCATCAGGGTCACGGGGTGAGTCACTGGGGTTTAGGCCGCTGTATTTTTAGAAGGCTCGGCTTTGACAGATGAATGATGCGTTTCCCTTATTGGCAGGCCGTGTGTGTGTGTGTGTGTGTGTGTGTGTGTGTGTGTAACCGAGAGGACGAGGAGGGACCATTGCGGTGTGTTCCCACACTTTAAAAGACTGGACAGCTGTGTGTCCTGCAGGAGTGTGTGTGTTTCGATAGACTGGAGCTTCATCAGCGTCACACACTCGCAGTCGCGGGTCCATGAGGATTGTGTTCTGTGTTGGACTTTCCGTGTTGTGTAGTTGCGTTGCTGTCGGCCCGTGGCGTGTTGAAGAGCCCGTATGATTCAGATATCACGCCGTATAATATTTCCCTGAGTAACGAGTAACGAGTAACGAGCTCGCTCAAATCCTGCAGCTTTATTGAAGCCGGGCATCAACTAACGGATGGGGCGCTCCCGCTCGCGACTCAGGGACACCGCCGCTGCAGGACGAGTGTGTGAGCGCGGCCGGTGTGTGTGTGTGTGAGCGCAGCCGGTGTGTGTGTGAGTCGGACGAGGCCAGAGACGATGGGTGGGAAACCTGAGATCAGGCCTCTGTTGCTCAGCAAGCAGAACGTGAGCGATCGGATCGGGCCGAGAGTGACGAACACACAGATCAACATCAGAACCGCAGATCAACACACTCTCGGGTCCAGACCAGCGCTTCCCAGATGGACCCGCAAACACACACAGGTACACACACAGGTACACACACAGGTACACACACAGGTACACACACAAGTGTGGCTTTCTGGACCTACAAACACACACAGGCTTTTTGGACCCGTAAACACACACAGGTACACACACACACACACAGGTACACAAAAAAGTGTGTCTTTCCTCGGTTTTCCTCCGCTTTAATCTTCCCAACCGGAAACTGAAGAGCATCCTTGCGTCTAATGTGGAACATGCGTGCATACAGCCCATAGAGTATCAGTCACAGAGCCGAACCCTAACCTGACCCTAACAGTTAACTAACCTGACCCTAACAGTTAACTAATCTAACCCTAACAGTTAACTAACCTGACCCTAACAGTTAACTAACCTGACCCTAACAGTTAACTAATCTAACCCTAACAGTTAACTAACCTGACACTAACAATTAACTAATCTGACCTAACAGTTAACTAATCTAACCCTAACAGTTAACTAATCTAACCCTAACAATTAACTAATCTGACCCTAACAGTTAACTAACCTGACCCTAACAGTTAACTAATCTAACCCTAACAATTAACTAATCTGACCCTAACAGTTAACTAATCCAACCCTAACAGTTAACTAATCTAACCCTAACAGTTAACTAATCTGAGACTTACAGTTAACTAATCTGAGACTAACAGTTAACTAACCTGACACTAACCCTAACAGTTAACTAATCTAACCCTAACAATTAACTAATCTGACCCTAACAGTTAACTAACCTGACACTAACAGTTAACTAATCTAACCCTAACAGTTAACTAATCTAACCCTAACAGTTAACTAATCTGACCCTAACAATTAACTAATCTAACCCTAACAGTTAACTAATCCAACCCTAACAGTTAACTAATCTGAGACTTACAGTTAACTAATCTGAGACTAACAGTTAACTAATCTAACCCTAACAGTTAACTAATCTAACCCTAACAGTTAACTAATCTGAACCTAACAATTAACTAATCTAACCCTAACAGTTAACTAATCCAACCCTAACAGTTAACTAATCTGAGACTTACAGTTAACTAATCTGAGACTAACAGTTAACTAATCTAACCCTAACAGTTAACTAATCTGAGACTTACAGTTAACTAATCTGAGACTAACAGTTAACTAATCTGACCCTAACAATTAACTAATCTAACCCTAACAGTTAACTAATCCAACCCTAACAGTTAACTAATCTGAGACTTACAGTTAACTAATCTGAGACTAACAGTTAACTAATCTAACCCTAACAGTTAACTAATCTAACCCTAACAGTTAACTAATCTGAACCTAACAATTAACTAATCTAACCCTAACAGTTAACTAATCCAACCCTAACAGTTAACTAATCTGAGACTTACAGTTAACTAATCTGAGACTAACAGTTAACTAATCTAACCCTAACAGTTAACTAATCTGAGACTTACAGTTAACTAATCTGAGACTAACAGTTAACTAATCTGACCCTAACAATTAACTAATCTAACCCTAACAGTTAACTAATCCAACCCTAACAGTTAACTAATCTGAGACTTACAGTTAACTAATCTGAGACTAACAGTTAACTAATCTAACCCTAACAGTTAACTAATCTAACCCTAACAGTTAACTAATCTGAACCTAACAATTAACTAATCTAACCCTAACAGTTAACTAATCCAACCCTAACAGTTAACTAATCTGAGACTTACAGTTAACTAATCTGAGACTAACAGTTAACTAATCTAACCCTAACAGTTAACTAATCTGAGACTTACAGTTAACTAATCTGAGACTAACAGTTAACTAACCTGACACTACCACTAACAGCTTTCTGGCATTTAGAAGATGTAATGGCAAATAGGCTTTCAAATGAATGTAATGAATTTTTAGATATAGTATAGTAGTAGTACATTGATCTCTGTCACACACGTGTCCCTCACTGTCCCGCAATACTGAAGAATACAAAAAC